TTGAGTTAACGTACGTAGCCCCTTGAGATCGATGATATGGTAATTTTTTCATAGTATATTGACTGAATTGCTGAATTCTTTGTAATATCATGATGCGTTAAAAATATCCGATGATCGCTTATGTAAAATAAAAATGATCGGCGAAATTCGTCAAAATTTTACCGAGGCGAGTGCCTCGGTTGGCCTCATACTAGCTACGGCGCTGGTCACGTTGGAGTACACGCCGTTAATTAAACTCGGCATGTTATCATAACTAGCCCTCGAATACAGCTGTCTTTCCTTGCTTCTCGCCGCAAGAAAGTTTCGCGGGAAAGTGACGAGGAGAGACGACCGTATTCGCAGGCTGTATTAGCACAAAAATTGATGATTATCTAGACGCCATTTTGCGAAATCAAAAATGGAGTTCTCTTGCGCCGTCCCAGAGGGAGAGGGGTACTCCGGAGAGGATGATCGAAGGATTTTTTGGGCTTTGAACTTTCCTAATCCGGGATTCCCTCCCCCTCCCCCCCCCCCAACCCCCGGTCCACCGTATCATAAATCCAACGGCGCTTGCTAGAAGATGTATGACGTCACGGTGACGAAGCACAGTCCGTACAATTTGCTCACAAACGTAAAAAGTAACTCAAATGACGTTATGCAAGACAGTGTTTTAATTCGTCATTACATATATATTTAACTTTCTTTTTCATGCAGACTACTTATCTGATACACTGTAATCTGTAGATTCCGTACTTGTCGAACATACACCAGTATCAAACATCACTCAGTCTCATAACTACCCTTGAAGAAGCCGCTGCTAGACGGCTAAACTTGCGTCAAAATTGTGAAGACTGTGAAATGCACAGGCAGTTTATAAGCACAAAAAATATTCTCAAGTAATTATACCAGACGCGCCAAGACTGGGTCCAGCAAGGTTGAGCAAAGAGCAGATAGAAATGTGGTACAGTCAAATCCCGTTAATAAGACACTGACTGAGGCCATAAAAAGTGTCCGTATTAAGCGGGTTTAATTTAGAGAAAATGTAAGGAATTAATTGCTTTCCCCAGGGACATGTGGGGGAACTCATGGAGTGCAATGCGGGAAATTAAAGGCCCGCCGTCTTTTTACAGTCGCTAAATTACTTTTTTGGAAAAACTGTTCCTTTGTACTTTTATATTAAATTATCAAGCAGCTATCCACAAAGCGAATATTAACAAAAAATATTAAACAACCTCTAGGATTATTTATCATCAAGATATCTACAAACTTGCCGTACACTTGGTAATAATTATTAATGCATTTGTCCGGCAACTGAATGATTTCAATAAATAACAGATCAAATATTTTCTAACTACCCTGACTACCTACTTATTTTTAGTCTTAAGTTGTTGAGTAATTCCTAACCAGCCATCAGGCCGAATTCAAGGGCCTAACTGAGCCTGATTGCAATCTAAACAACGATCTTTTACGTCACAAAAGACTCTAGTATAAGTTAAATCAATAAACAATTATCTATAAATTAAAATTCTATGACAACTGACGTAAGCAAAGAGCTTTACAGCACTGCAGTTGTTTTTTCTCAGTTTCTATTGAAAAGAACGTTTGAGTCCATATCAGAGTGCACTCTTGTGGCAGACTTTTTGAGCCCGTTTCATGAAGTTATTACGTTCCTGTATGCTGTCCAAATCCAACAGATGTTAGAAGGCCATGCCACAGTTTCAAGTTCCTACAGAAAAATTAAAGCGTAGTAAAAAGACGACTTTTTAGGAATAAACTACTAGGAATAGTTCATCCTATAGCGAGGGGTGTAGCCTTTTCTGGTTCCAGTTAATTGGTGGCACTGCGTTTAATTGGAGGCTCCTTCTCTCTCCCCAGATTAGCCGGACGCCTGGAACAGGCTAACAGGGGTGAAATTGAGTGAGATAAAAGATGACCACTCAAAGTGAAAAGTAACGACCAGAGTGTGAACCAAATTGGTAGAGAAAGCATCCGTGCAAAGTTGGCGGCTCAAATATGTAATAGTGAAAGCGTGATACGATAAAATATGCCTTCCTCCATTTGCATGTTTAATTACATACATACAATATGCTTGGTCTTCAAAAAATTTAAAGCAGTTAGTCCTATTTATCATGAGAGACATGACCTGCTTTAGTCGTCTATAAACAGCGCCGCTGGAAGAAGGGCTTCATAGTATGTGTGTGCGTATCAGAAAAATGTGAAGTCTATTAAAAGAGATTTAAGGAGGGCTTACAGTTTAAACCACGGGTTATTGATCTGACTAAGTACAGTAGGAGTCGGATAAGTTATTTGATCAATCGTTAGACTTGTGTTAGCCTGCGAGAGCATCCGTTTTTTCGGCTTTAGTTTCACCCGCCGTGAAAAACCGTCGTTATTTTTCGGAGGGACAGAAGCGACGACCGGAAATACGTCTGCGGTTCGTAGACTAGACTTGTGTGGGCTACAGAAAAACTTACTATTGGTTTTTGTCTTAACAAAGTCTGAGAAAGTTGTAGTCGAGTTTAGTACTACATTTTTAACCAATCAACAAGCAAATGAGGAAAGACTAAAACTGGCTTTAATCATGAAACATGTCGTGGTATTTACCTGGGCAAGGGATACAGCAACCTTTTCTCATAGCACCTTCAAGAGAGTTAGGACATTGCCCTCTGGGGCAGGGGGCACGCCGACAATTCGTCCTTCCATCCTTAAAAACGGAGAGAAATTGTTTAATACCTTCCTAACAACAACTTGTGTCACACAGTACTGATTAAATAAGGAAGTACTCAGTGTCTTCGATGTATGACACCAAATTCCGATACAAGCAAGATGCAGTGAAAATTTTAAAGAAGCAATATTACTTACCCTACAGCTACACGTTATGCATTTTGAAACACCAGGCAATGGAAAATGAGGTTTCCATGTTTGACCGTGTTTGAATTGACTTCCGCGAAAATTGCATCCTACAGTAAAAGGATGTAGGTTAGGAGAAATAAAGTTATTATCAGATTAACATTATCATCATCACCATCATCAATATCATTATTATTATTATTATTATTATTATAATTATTATTATTATTATTATTATTATGATCATCTTCATCATCATCATCATTATTATCATTGTGTTAACATTTTTATTTCAATTCATTCAATGGGAGGGGTCGCATTATCAACACGAAAAACAACATACTACAAAAAAATTACCAGAAAAGTTGAAAAAATTTAAATAATCTTTTACATACCTTTTCCACCCTTTTTATTCTTTCTGTCGTTGTCTGATCGCTCACTTTCTCCATCTAAATTCAGAGGAGAGAATGGAGAGATTTCGGTTATGAAAAAGCCTAAAACACTTCTTCCAAGATATCATCAGGGCCGAGTTGTTCAAAAGGTGGATAACTTTATTCACTGGATAAATCTTTATCCAGTGGATAACGTAGTTAGTTTTACTGACAGTACTTATTCACGGGATAGTGATATTTTACGTTGGATAGCGCTATCCAGCGTTTGAGCAACTGGGACCAAAAGAACAAGTTTAAAACATAAAGGATTTAAAATTCGCCGAGCACAAACCTATTACTAACCATAGGAAGATCACATCAATCCTTTTGAAGTTATTCGAGCAAAAGATTGAGACTTGTTGAAAAATAATCCTTCAAGCTACTCACCAGGACACCGCATACAACAGTCTGCCATGCGCAATTTAATTGGATTTTTGCAGTGCAGCTCTGGACATGTAACTTTAATACAAGAAATTTTGTCCTGTAAAAAAAAAATTAAATTAATATTTTATAACTCATTGAAAAGAAAAAAATGTGGTTGGAGGAAGGATTTTATACTCAAACGAACACTTCCTTTTTCACTGAAAGTTGGCCGCTCACTCAGTCTGACTGAAAGTACTTTTAGCGCACACACTAATAATCAGAAGCCGACTACCGCTTACCATACATGTGCAGGCGTGACATCTCATGTAACCAAACGGCTGTACAAACGGGTGCCACACAGCGTTTGCGGGGTACACTTTTCGGTCTCTTTTTACGTAACAGCCTTTTAGTGATGGCCTTTTCTTCTTTTCGTAGTGTATGACAACTTTTTCCTCCAAAGCTGCAAGGTAGAGGGAGAAAAAGCAGATTCTTTGAAAATAAGTTGAAAACAAGCTAAACCAGTTGTTACTTGAAGTTTATTTTTATTTCTTGATACAAAATGAGCGAAATATTTCCGCAAACGTACCATTATAAGCTGTCGACGTGTAGCACGACAATGCTCCACTTCGAGTTGAGTTTGAGAGGGCGCCAAGACTTCATGTAACAGAAAATCAAGCGCTTACCTGGACAAACCGGACAGCATGAGTGAGGTAATAATATAGGTGCTTCAGTGCAGTTTAATGGCTGACATGTGATGTTAGAGCAATTAACTTCACCATCCTGGAACCAAAAAAAACAGATGGAGCTTTATCGCTTATATAATACAAAGTTTTGTATAGGAGCAAAACTGAGTTTTAGATAAGCGGTATCACGGGCATTGAGCCGCTGAAAGGGACTTTTAACCCTTTCACAGCCGAAAGTGTCCAAAGCCAACATTTCACAAAATGTCCATTTTTTCGTGTGTGAAATGCTGAAAAACAAATAGCACCATGTGAAAGTACTGCTGAAGAGGTTTACATTTGAATGGTCACAAGATAGCATTTCGTCCACAGACTCTAAAAGTTAGAACTGCCTTATCGCTACTCCTGTCATCTGGCAGTGAAAAGGTTAAAATTTTTGTTCTCGTTTTTTCAAAATTTAGCTTTATCGAATCTGTTTGAAAGATGGTTTTGCTATGCTGGATTTGGCCCCCGTACTATGCTCATCCCTAGACTTTCAAAACAGTCCTTCGTCCGATTTGATATGGCGCGGGACGAAGACCTCTCGCGACTTCGTCGCTTGCTTGGGCTGCCTTCGCGGCCTAAAAAGCTCGCTGTGCTCGCTAAGAAACTCGTGAGATCGACTTGTAACAAGTCTAACTCATCCCCAGTGCCTTTCCCTTCCCAGATTCCGAGGCAAAAGACCTGGGCCTGAGGTTCGCCACCGCACTAAAGAGATTAAAGAAACTGAAGTTTGAGCGTTGCCAGTAGATCAAAACCTAGCAGTTTTACTCCATCATTGACCATCACATTGGTTGATATAACGAAATTTATCTGATCAGTCTCATACTGGCCTGAAATCGGGTATGTTTTTCAAGGTAACTTCGACAGTGTGTAAACATATTTGTAGCGTGTTAGCTACCATTAAAAAACAAAAAAATACTTTAACAAAAGTTGGCTTAACTTCAACAAGGAAATGGGTTCGCAAACAGGGTACAACTTTCAGAAGCCAGATCCGAAAACGGAAATGATTATGGTCAGGTTCAAAAACGGGTGTGGAAAATCGCCTTTTCTTTATCACAGATAGTGTCGTGATTTGGAGAACCGGGTGCCATACCCCCATCAAGAATTCCTGAGAGTAGCCCCGGAAAATATAGCGATTTTTAGTTAGTAATTCTCTTCAAGTTACCTTGCAAGTACAAGATATACATTTGTCATCCTCATCAATCCACGACTCGCCTTCGTAATATCTTTTGTTCCCAGCGTTACAGAAGTCCCCATTGATGGGCAGCGGTGGAGAACCGTGTATACAATGTGCGCTGTTTACCAGGACCTGACTCCTAAGTTCTCCTTGTGGGACCTCTTCACTGCTGACTTGCAAATAAACCAATCCTTTGAACATATTCACCAGGAAATCTGGCTTGAGGCTGCGTACCGATCCTGATACCTAAGACACATAATAGGCTGATTTAGCAACGTCATTTGACGACGGGAAAGCGCGCGAAATCGACTAAACTTGACTTCCGGTGTCCAACTTGTCCCTCTGCCATTGGTCAATCCAGTCGTTTGATTTGCGCGCGCCGTCGTCAACCGACGTTCCCGTTCTGTTGCTAAACTAAGGCGGTATAAGATGCGAAAAGCCAAAAAATTTGCCCATTTTAAGTACTCTTTTATATCGGGTATATGTACACTCTGTAGCAAGGCATTGCCATAGTATGGTTTTTCCTTTTTTATGTGCGTCTGGTTGTCCTCTCGTCATTATTTTTGGTTTTTAAAGGCATCTCCATGACACCGAGGGTGAGTTTTTCAACACACATGATTCACTTTGTGATCTTCCAAGCTTAACAGACCAAATGGCCTTTTCATCCATCAGTAGAAATTCCCCACCTCAGAAGCTTTAGCCTGAAGTGTGGGTCATGCTTTGGGGTGTGACGATTTCTGTGATCATTTAGGTAGACAAGCGTTAGTTATGATTGGTCGATGGTATTCAAGGCAATCATAAATCAATCACAAGTAAAGCTTGTTCACTCGAACGCGATCCCAGACACCGTTGCGCTAGCTTGCGTAGCAAGCTTTCCGATGCAGTTTCGGAGAAACGAACGAGGAACGGATTTTCGGTTTTGGCCGCGCGAGCAAGCATGTTACGTTCAATCGAGCAACAGTCTTAGGTTGTTATATCTACATCTACATATCATATATTAGGTCGGTTAAAAAGCGCTAAGACATCACACCAATCGTAAAATAATATATAAGAATGATATAAAATTAAATAAAGATAGCTATATAACTATTACTTAAGAAAAGCTGATAAATTGGATTTAAAAGACTCTAATGAACTTGATGATACAATGGCTTCAGGGAGGCAGTTTTTAGTCTTTTGTGTCTTTCGTAACTCTTTGAGCCTATTAGTTATTGGCATCAAGGACACAGTTACTCACCGTTTCTCCTTCAAATGATTTTAATAACTGCACGTGTTCATCGTAGGGCTGAGGAACCTGGCCATAATCAGCAAATCCCTGGAGTTCCGCGGTCACCAAGTTCTTGCGCCCACGATCAATGCCACTGATCATCAAATGATAGTGCAGAGCACAGTGTTTGTCCAGTGAGAACCAGGCCTGTCCCGCCGCGCCAGTTTGGATCCTGGGAACTACTTCGTTACCCGATAACAACATCGGAGGATCTGAAGAAAGGTGAGATGAGGAACAGGAAGTGAGGTGCATTCTGACGTTTGACTTCTGCCGATTCACGTTTACGGCAAACGGCAGACTGGCTAAGTTGACAATTTCTCAAAATAGAAAATGAGCAGATGAAAACAGTCTAAAAAAATTCTTATGGATGAAATAACGTGAGACTACTTATTTTTTGGTCAGGTAAAGAACAGTTGAAGACAAGTGAAGGGAAAACGTGGTCACTTAGCAGAAATTCAAACGTGACTCAAAATCTCTCTAATCTTCTACGAAATGACGTCAAACAATTCAAAATGGCGGCAGGGGGGAATTTAAAAGCGAAATAATCGATATTTTTATTCTTTATTTTCGTAAGAATTGAGTTTTTGGTACATTCAACTTTGTAAAATTTTTACGGAAAGAATACCAATTACAATTCATTTCCAACAAATTAGACCTCAATTTTCAAAGGTAACAAATTGTGATAATTTCCTTTTTACTAGACTTAGGAATAAAATTGATTGATTCAAGAATGTCTCCTCACCGCGATATGACAGATGATGACCCATATAAGGAAATTGTTTAAGTTTTCCGTATATTTCACCATTTCTGTTACTTGAGGTACGGACGTTAATAAAGATGTTTCCATTGAAGAGCCAGCAGGTTTCTGCAAATGATGGCCGTTCCCAGACACCGGTAACCTGTGGTGGATATTAAAAATCTATTAAAACAATCCAGTTGCTTGAGGACACGGACACACGATACAAGATCACAGTATTACATGCGGCATTCAGCTTTTGACACCCGTAGTTCTGCGTAGTTGTAACCACACAAAACCACAGCGTTTAACTTTTCGTGCAACACCCAACACTAAAAGAGGCTAAAACATTGATGCTATAAAGAATAACTGCATTGTCATTGCTGTTGCGTTTAGATGAAAAATGGAGAAAAACGTAAAATTGTTGTGCGCAGGAAAAATAAAGAAAACCACAATAGGAAACAAAAAACATGCTCACCGACCTTAGCTTGACCGTGTTCATCAGTGGTTACTGATCGCGACAGCCTCTTTACTGTTCGTCTGTTGTTTGTTGCCTGTAAAGTGATTTCCTCGACAGGATTTACCAGGCCAGAAAGAAACACCTGTCATAATAAAAATAAAAATAAATAAATAAAAATAATTTACAGTGTAACATAATTACTTTCTTTGCCACCCCTCCACCCCCATCTCCGTCTTCTCTAACATGACTTAAAAGCCTACTATTAACAGTGCTCGAAACTTGAGCTTTTGAAACACTTTTTCGTTGCCTTTTTTCTTATTCACCTAGTTGATAGAGCCATATTCTTTCGTTTCACTCTCTGCTCAAAATATCACATCAGTTCATTTAGAAACCAAAAAAGAAACATTCCCAAAGAGTGAACCCTCGATTAAAACCCTTCGGTATATACGTCGGTATATATATATGTCATCCGGGCTATGGCAGCCATAAAATAGTTGATGTACATAACGCATCTTCTTCAGGTGCTAATTTTTTAAACTAACTTATTCATCTTCATAATAGTTTTAAAATTCAGTATAAAGGTAAAATGGCTGCAACAGCAGAGAGCCAAAACGATAAACTAGATAAGGAATTTTTTGCTTTTCATTGTCATAAATATTGATTATTTTTCTTGACAGATTCATTTTACCTGGTAATATATTTGACCATGACTACCAAAGTCGAATGAGGCATAGCCGCTGGCCCCTGTCATCGTGGGTCTAGGAGCATCTTGACCAGACAGTTGAGAGACAATGGCTATCAAATGAAGAGCAAGTTTGTTCAGTGTCTAAGTTAGAACGTATTATAGTTTTAGCATGAAAGATTTGTAAGAAATTCCTTTATTTTTTCCATCTGCAGCGTAGAAATCATTTTTGCATCAGGGTGTAATCTTTTATTCTACCCATCATCGTTTTTCGGTTTAGTTAGATTTGAACTTTGTACTTGTGTACGAGTAGACGATGGAATCTGCGTCGCATCTCCGTATATAGTTTCAGCTCCTTTTTCATAAAATATGAGCACCAAGTGTTCATCTACAACAACGTTCAACTAGACATGATCGCGAACTGGTGCCTTGTTGTCCAATACCGACTTAATTACAAAGAGCTTGTTCCTTCCAATTCACGCTTTCCAGATCACAGGATAAAATGTTTTAAGAAAATGACAATTTTTACTACTATCACGAAAATCTTTGGAACTTACAGTTACAAGTTCTTTTGATGCCTATGCGTCCCGTAAGTTGAACAGTCTGATCAGCGGTATTCAACACCACTGTAATATTTAAATGACCACGTGACAGCCACTTAAGCGTCTGTTCACGTGGATTTATCCATGCAGTTTTGAAATTAGAATTCTGGAAAAACAAACAAAGAATAAAATCAGCGATTAGCATCTAAATCATCGTCTTGTATCCATCTGAGTCCGCGGAAGAACTACAGCCGATGAGCAAAGACTTTGAGAAACCAGATTACAAGTTTCACTTGAAATGGCCTTAATTAGATACTACTGGCAAAGACCCCCTTGCTTTATGAAGTGTGCATAATAAAGTATCCGTTATCCCCTCTTTACTATAGGTTCAGTAAAAGAAGGAGCCATTTAGTACAAGAAGGAGTAAAAGCAAACGCAAAAGAGTTGTCGTTTTGGTCTCACACTAATACTGTTTAGGGTTAGGGTTAAGCAATGATTTAAAAATGGTTAGCTTTATTTTACTCTTTTCGTAACGCTATAGAAGTACTCTTACAATTACAGCTCTCTACAGCTACTTTGGTCTCATACTCGACCTGAGAAAAATCTCTGAACTGATCGGAGAATAGGTAGCCTGTGCCAGGCTCTCAAACAGTAAGGACGGCGCGAAAACAGGAAAACTGAGCGGGAAGAGGGAAAGGAGGCGATCTTTGCCGTTACTGTCTTGGAGCCTAAAACAGGTGGGAACGACGTTTGCGCTCGTGTTCAAGGCGCTACAGCTAAAAGGGCCTAAAAGAACAGTGCGGGGATGACTAAAGCATAGTACGCACCTCTCTCCTGACTTCTCCGGGGCCGATGATTTTCAATATTCGAGAATCTTTGTTATTACCGGCTTTCTTTATTAACTTGAACGTGGCTTGGCTGGCTGATCCTTAGGGGGAAAAGGCATAAGAAACTTTGATGTTCATAAACGATCACATGAAAAATTATTCTTTAAAAAGTTTACTCATAGTAAAAGTTTTTAAAGGCCTGTGGCCAAAATCCCAGATAAGTGTGACTATTAACAGGGTTGTCGGGGCTAATGTGATTTACAGCAACGCCTCCATTTCCAAAACGATTTCTAAAGAATTTTTGGCGTTTGGTTATGACGCTCGATGGGAAATTGGAATGGCAACAGCGAACGTAAAGCCGAACACCCAATCAAATTGCCAGGAGAACTTCGAAAGGAAGCCTTGTTGGCTGCAATAGACCTCAGAACCTTAATTGCCGGATCTGCACTTGCTTTCACATGTATAACTTTGACCGGTTTAAGCACTGCAACTAAAGGTAAGATAAAACCACTCTTGCACAAACCTAAATTGTGACTTCCATTGTAGCGAACGTAGATCTTTAGAAGCTTTCCACTCCTCGCCAGGTTGAAAGACGCAAGTGCGCTGGACTTTTTATCTTCTGACGTTAATAGTGCTTCAAAAGTCTCTGGAAGAAAAACAATGTTTTGGTAAGTACTCACTTTTAATAGACTTTGTTTTGGAAGAGTCATAATAGAGTTGTTTCTTAACCATACACCGTCCAGTATACAGTTTGCGGTCATCTCAATTACGGAATCTCATTACCAGCGTAGGATAACAATGCTTGTAAATACGAGAACGTCTAAAGCCCCGCCCACATGTATCTGGATATTTTTGAAAACGGAAAATTTTTTCCTTATGCGTCCACACGTAGCGTATTCGAATCGTTTTCGCCCGTCCACACGAAAACGCTCTATAAGCAATGTAAAAACGATAGCATCCCTCACAGAGCATGCGTAATGTTTGTAGTATATAGTTTATGACATCATCAAATTCGAAAACCTGCATTTTAGTCCGTCCATACGTAGACGAGAAGCCAGCGTTTTTCAAAAGATGCGTTTTCGGTGACCGTTCAGTTACCGGATACGTGTAGACGGTAGGCCAAGCTGGAGGAAAAAATCCCCCTTTTTCAAACAAAAACGGTTACGTGTGGACGCGGCCTAATTTGAATTGAATTGTCAGTCCTTTTGGATTCTAAATAAGAACCACTCTCCGCCCAAAAGTTAACTTACATCCCAAACAACATAGCAAGATCAATCATAAAAAACTCCGGCCCAATCTGAAGAGAACTTTCGTTTAAAAGATCAAAGAGTCAGAGAACTAGGTATTAGAATGTAAACAACACGTTTGTTTTAACTGGAAAGTTCAAACAGCTGTATTTGCATTCATCTGCATGCTCATCTCTAAGAGGTTCACTAAACTGACGGTATTTGATTCAACACATAAAATACGTGCAAACGGACGCAATAACTCCCAGCATTGTTGCCTCCGTTTGCAGGTAGCTAAAAGTTTGACCGGTTTCAAACTTTGCGCAACAACTCTCAACAAAACGCTACAACATGTAACAGGGTGTACAAACGGACTCAACATGTAACATCCAACAATGTTGGGAGTTGTTGGCCAACAATTTTGCACTTAGCTGTAAAGTTTAATTTACGCGACATGATATCCAATGAACTTGAAAGTTGGAATTCTGACGGAAATAATTAAGATAGAGGTCCATTTGTTTTCATCGATATTACAAACAGCACTTTTCTTATCTTTTCAGCAAAGAGAGAAAATAATAAGAGAATTAGAAAAACAGCGATGGCACCAGTATCCTTGCATCGATCACGCACGTACTTGGAGACAGAGAGTAGGTTTCGAGCTAAAATTTACTTGGCTTAATCCGATCCTTTAAGTACCAGAGGAAAAAAGGTCTTAATTAATAGTCAGTGTATTTACAACAAAGTTTAATAAAAGAGCTTTTTTATATATTACATTCCCTCTGTAGTCACGAGAAAGGCCGAATCTGTGCAGGGGAAATGGTTTGCCATTGTCCCAAGTTATTTTAGGACTCTGAGTATTGGCCCCTCCCTGGGGATCGAACAGGCAACCTACCACTCCACAGTCCAACGCTCTAACGACTGAGCTATCAATGCAGTGACTGGTTAGATTTAAAATTGCCAACTTATGAGAAAAACTATCAAAAAGGTCAACCAACACCCATGTCTTGATCCCCAATAAACAACCTTATGACCCCTTTTATATTATCCACACAAAAAGAAAATGCCATTAAACAGTGATTAAAACAATAAACTGTTTTAACAGAGCAAATATCAAAATCAGCATTTACTGCAAACAACGATCACACAAAAACAAACAATACAACCATGATAAACACAAACAATACATGAGAACTTAGCACTTGCATTATATAAAAAGCACTTGTAGATGCCATGTTTCTATCATTAGGGACTCTCTTGTGCGCGCCATCTTGAGAACAGCGTGTAATTTGGTTGAGAACCGAGTCTCAGTGGGCCATTGAGAGGGGTATCTGAAGTGACACTAAGTTTTGGAATAATCCCGTCAGTGTTTCAATATATCTTGACCTCTTTGTTACGATCCCGTGCATTTTCTCGGCTTGGAGTCGTATGCATGTATTTGCTTCGATATCTGACTCATTCAAATACAAAACATCATCCATGAGTGAACTATTCATAAAAACGTTTGGTGTCTATGCGCCTCACCAATCAAACCCATTTCTTTAAAAATATGCCATTCTATTTTGCACGTTTTGTAGTCTTGACCTCTTAAAACTGCAACCCAACCACGTCCATTTCTTGACCTCTGCCCTTCATCGACAAGATAACACTCTTATAAAGAAACTGACAATACTCGGACGCCAACACCGTCTCGTCACTACCTTACGAATGCTCAGGGCTGCATCAGCAGAGCACCGTTTCGCACCTGTCCCCAATCTCGTTTCTAGAATCCCAGTGTCACTTGTCCAGCAGAACGGACGCCCACACCGTCTGGTCATTACCATACGCATACGCAAGGCTATATCAACAGAGCACCCTTTCCTACTTGTCCCCAATCTCGTTCCCAGAGTCCGCGTTTCCCTTGTCCGGCGGAACAGGCAACGGGGGCCTCAGGTTAGTGGACAAAGGTAACGAGCATTCTGGGAATTAAATGGACTTGTCCCGTGTAACTGTTCTTAGCTGAATTATCCGGTTACTAAAGCAATGACACACACAACACCACTACCTGTCACTTAAGATGGCACGCACCTATTTGGCACTCTCAAGATAAACAACCTACCTTCTGAGTAAGATTTGTACAATGTAATGTCCCCAACAAGGGCTGCTGCGTTTTGCCTTTTGAGTTTTAACATGAAGCTCAATTTTCCCCGTTTGAGAGATTCGATCTGCTTATTATTGAGTTGATTCCATACTAGACACACCTGTAGAAAACAAGTAAAAATAAATTACAACAGTATTATCCATTACCTCTCGCTTCCAATTGAAATAGTGTCAAAAATAACGTATTCGTTCTTAATCCTTTACCTCCGAGAAGTGATTGGCATATAACTTCTCCTTAAAATATTCAATACATTGTCGAATATAGAGGTGGAGAGAAAAGACAATTTTATCAGCCAGAGGATGTTACATTGACAGAACCCCGAATTTTCTTATTTAACATCCAAACAAATATATAGGAGTCAGAAAGGAGAATTACTAATCAGTCCGACACTATGAGCTTGTTTATATATTTGCGATAAAATAAATCAACGCACCTGAGATCCATTTATGGCTTTCCGTTGAATATTAAGCTCTTTTATCGTTGAGCCTTCAGGGTCCAAAAAAGACGCCATGCGGGGTTTGCGTGATCTAGACAAAAATATACAAACAAATAAATAATAAACATAAAATATTTAAATATTTTGTAAGCGTTACAATTTCCAATACTGTTCGGTTGTTTTGGTGCATGAAATTGAACAATAACGCTATGTTCACACTGCACTGGACGAATTTTCAACCGGTTGNACACTATGAGCTTGTTTATATATTTGCGATAAAATAAATCAACGCACCTGAGATCCATTTATGGCTTTCCGTTGAATATTAAGCTCTTTTATCGTTGAGCCTTCAGGGTCCAAAAAAGACGCCATGCGGGGTTTGCGTGATCTAGACAAAAATATACAAACAAATAAATAATAAACATAAAATATTTAAATATTTTGTAAGCGTTACAATTTCCAATACTGTTCGGTTGTTTTGGTGCATGAAATTGAACAATAACGCTATGTTCACACTGCACTGGACGAATTTTCAACCGGTTGACAATTCTTGAACGGTCCCGTGTAAACGACGTCTCTCGTCAAATTCTCCAGCCGGTCGAAAAATTCGATCGATGGCGTATTGAAGGTAGCCTGGTTTGAAAGGCATCATCAACCTCTTTATCCAACGAAAGACAAAATAAGATGCATATTTAATAAGAGAGTAATCCTTACCCTTCATAGCGAATTGAGATGTGAAGGGAGCTCCTCACCAAAGTGAAGTGTGCGCGTGCGAGTCCATTTTGTGGGGTACTGGAGACTCCACGTGTCGTCAGCAAAGACACAAACTCTAAAAATGTAAAAAAGGTTTAAGAACTTGATCATTTGTTTCCTCTTCCCTATGGTCTAAGTTTTATTAGTGTTCCCAATTCAGGTTTAAATTGGCACCGAAAATGATACAACATGAGTATGGTGAAGAACATAGTATTTTACTGTTTTTTCTTTTAATACAGTTTTTTTAGCTATGGTAACTCCCATACAATGATAATTATATATTTGTTCAAAGCGCATCAAATGGCGAAGAACTGATGCAGAAGATAAGGTTTGAACAATGACCAGCTTCGGCCTGATGCTATGCCGGGCAGATTGTGAAAAATGGAGACGTTTAGTGATGGAAGCGCGACCACGATCGCCTCGGTAATTGTAAGGAAGATAGGTTTGTATAACCCTTTTGCGCGGCCCCAAAGCGTCTATCGTCTTCTAGCGAGCGAGCCCTCAGGGAGCTTAATAACGCTCATTTCATGCGACTTTGCTACAAACCCTTCTCTGATCTAATTGGCTGTAAGGTTTTTGGCGGGAAAGCGTGAACCTATAAATAGCCTGAAACGCTAACACCCTAGGAACAAGATAGTGAGCGCTCCAGCGTAATGGGCTCTTGAGTCGAGTTTCTTACCGTCGGGGCAAGATGCACAACATTGGCCTTTCTCAATTCGCGGCCTTGCGCAAGATGTTGCTGGACAGCGGTGTCGCTTATTACGACAGGCCACTTTTCCAACTGTCTCGGAATTTGACACCTGCGAATAAAAAGAAATCTTGTATGAGAAAGACGCTGAATTAGCCTTGGGGAATACTCCTGGGAATTTTTGGCGGGAGTGTGCCGCCGGTTCTCCAGACTGAGACCAAAACATGGCATTTTTCACACCCGTTTTCAGACCTGGTCTCTAAGAAAAAATGTCTAGGTCTAGATTAGAACGCGAAATAAAAGATTCCTTAAAATTCACTTCGAATTCGCATATTAATCTTCCTTTCTTATTCATTTGGAATTGAAACGACAAATAACCTCACACAATCCCGTCGTTCCCTTGAAAACCATACCCGGTTCCAGACCAACCCTGGGTACCTAATACAAGAGTTTTTTTTCTCCTGAGATAAAACGGCAGACGCGTCAATCACTTCAGTCTGTAAACTACAAATACAGGAGGAAGAAACAAAGAATGCTTCCATTAACGGCTGAGAACTGCGTTTTAGGGTCTCGCACTTAAGTTTATGGTTAAGGGTTAAACTGGATGATTAGCCTTCAGTTACTTTTTCGGTAACTCTGTAAATTGCATGAATCTTACAGCGTCATAAAATTGTTTCTTATTAGCGCAGTAAATGTGGATATCAACGATAAACTCTGCCGTCAAATTCAAGGCTTACTGACTCTTTTGAATTTTCATCTTCCTTTCTTTATTATAGACTGTTAGCATGGCCTAATCGTTTGCTCAGTCTTTCACAGGTGATGAGACACTAACTTGATGATGGAATTTGCTATTGCATGGCAGAATTTCAGAGTGGATAATATTTCTATTGGGTCATTTATGCTTGGCTACTTTCGTCCGTAGACAGGAAAATCAATGCCTTGTTTTTAGGCGTTTCTCTCGTGTGAAAAAGCCTCTGGGTTTTACCAAACCATCGTGCCATACAGAATGGAAAACTACCGATTGAGCTGCTTCATCGAAAGTTGGACTGGCATCAATATCAATAAACTATTAAAAACAGAGATAGTAGTGTCTTTCCAACACGTAGTTCAATTAAGGAACTTATTGTTATGGCCTGAGAGACTGTCGGGCAAAGTCAAAGGTTAAGAACAAATGTACTCCTGCTACTTTCGCATATCCTTTTGCAAGATGCTTCTTCTTTGCACGACATATTTTTACGGATTGAGAAGTGTTTAATACACAATTCCAAAGTTGCTGTATCTCAGCGATTGCAATAGTTCCACACCCATTTATAAGAGAATTCCGTTAATGTATAGCCGCGAAAGCGCACATCAGTGACTATTACGCCGACGGAATGCTGTACTGTCTATACAGTATTCGTACAATACAGAATGACTTATAAAGGCGTTCAATAATCTTAAGCGCTTAGCCTGTTTCTCAAAACACCAGTCGCTTCAAGTTGGCCTCTCAGTCTCCTCGCGTGTTGTTACACAAAATGACTGATCCCTGCTTTTTTCACGTGCACGTATTGGCAAATACGTGTCTCTTCAAACAAAGAACGCGTTGAATTCAAAACGTCCGTTTTGAATAGCAATAATCCCCTCTTTTTGCGGTCGCTTTGCGTGTGGTGAGAATTAATGTTTATACGGAACACGCTTTCTTGCACTTACGGAGCTAGTCACTACAACAAATAAACTTCCTTTGATAACAATCGATTTAGCGACGCGGAAGTTCTCTGCTAACTACAGAAAGGTTATGATTCTTGAAAAAAATATGGTCACAGGCTTAGCTCTGAAAGACGTCTTAAAATGCGACCACAGGCAGCTGTTTCCAGCCGTCCAGGAAAATTATTTTGTTATCTATCAATGACAACAAAGGCTATTGTTAATATTTGTTCTTGAGATTATTTTAATTGGCGATTGAATGCTTTTCCAAACAAATAAACATTATGGTGTTAATTTAAAATGACAAAGAAATGAGGGGGTCCAAACTGCTTGGGAAGATAGCAGGAGTTGGCAATCCGCCGGCAGGTTAATTTAGCTCGCTGGGAGATCCGTCGTCACAATCGAAGCCTTAATTGCACTATTTTCGATAAAAATGCGATTAATCTTCTCTTAAGTGTTATAGCCTTTTGACTTACAAACGTCCAGACAAGGATTAGGCTATGATTATCACATCTCATTTAGTAAGATCCTGCCGAAAAGACTTTGGGTTATGCAGGAATGGGTTTGGAGAGTACTTTTATATAGATATCTCTCAAACTTTTAAACTAGGTAGCACGTTTTCATGTTCAAATGCTACATGTAGTTTTGCATGTTTTATCTTCAGCTCCTTTTGTTATCTGATATTTCTTATCCAGGATAGAGTAAGACACGTGCGATCTCCAGACTATTATCTGAAAAGCANATAAACATTATGGTGTTAATTTAAAATGACAAAGAAATGAGGGGGTCCAAACTGCTTGGGAAGATAGCAGGAGTTGGCAATCCGCCGGCAGGTTAATTTAGCTCGCTGGGAGATCCGTCGTCACAATCGAAGCCTTAATTGCACTATTTTCGATAAAAATGCGATTAATCTTCTCTTAAGTGTTATAGCCTTTTGACTTACAAACGTCCAGACAAGGATTAGGCTATGATTATCACATCTCATTTAGTAAGATCCTGCCGAAAAGACTTTGGGTTATGCAGGAATGGGTTTGGAGAGTACTTTTATATAGATATCTCTCAAACTTTTAAACTAGGTAGCACGTTTTCATGTTCAAATGCTACATGTAGTTTTGCATGTTTTATCTTCAGCTCCTTTTGTTATCTGATATTTCTTATCCAGGGTAGAGTAAGACACGTGCGATCTCCAGACTATTATCTGAAAAGCATGATCCAATGTTCTTTAGCCTTTTGTATTCTCAGAAAAGGTTGAGTCAAATTCAAGGAATTTCGCCCCAAATTTGGTATTGTCTATTACTTAAAAAAAGACCCGTGAAAGTACTGCAAAATATATGTTTCTACGGGTTGTCCTCTACTGACGTACCTCTACGATACTGGAAGTAAATTAACTACCCTTAGGAGCAGAGGTTCTTTCCTGTGTGGCTTTTAGCATTTACGAAGTCTTCGGCGTCGCTGTCTGTCGCGTAGTTGGCTTGTGCGGGACGACTTTTCAGAAATACTAAAAGCTGTGCAAGAACGAAACGTGCTAGCAGGATAGAAGTTGATTGAAATGTTGAACACGTACAGAATTTCACATCAAGATGGTCTGCAGTCATTTAAACCAACGTGTACTTTTCTACGTACTCGTCTGCTTTCGGTTCACTTCGGACGGTTTTTTAAAGAGCCGTGTGTTTTATTTAACCTTTTGCACTCTATAAAAAGTGGCCAAAGTCAAAAGATAATTCAACAAAGTTACCAAATTTCATTACTTGAAATGCTGAAAAATAGAGAGTGCCATGTGAAAGTACTAGCCGGAATAGGTTCAACTTGAATGGTCCCTCCGCAGTAATTTCCTCCTCCAAAGACTCTAAAGCTGGAACCATGCGCTACACCTTAACGTAAGACTCGCTCGATCCAACACACCCTGGAAAAAAAGATCAAACCTCACCTTGTTGCACGTGCAAATCACGCAATACATGACTCCAAAGGGAGGGATATCAGGATTCCAAGAATCTCCAATGTTATAGTGCAGACTACCAAAGATACAACCTGTCAAAGGAACAAAATGGAACACTAGAGATCATTCAAGTGCCGGTTTCTTTTAAGATTTTTTGTTTTGGGTAACTTAAGCACACTGTTCTTAGTAAATTCAAAAGTTAGCCTTTATAAACCAAAGACGAGCAAAGTTCACATTTTGAAAGAAAAATTCCAAAATTTTGAAACTTTTGCACGAATAAGGGAAAAGTTGAGAACATTATACAGTAAAAGTTTTATTAGCGGCATTTTCACTGTGAATCGCACAACTCAGTTTGCGGTTTCACCCACATATCCAACACTGAGATCCCGCCGTTTTGGCATAACAAACAGCCTTGCAGGAATGATAACTACCGTACCTTAGACATTTCTGAAGGTTCAAAGTTAGAGCGATAAAAATTTACAGTGGTAAAGAACAACACTCCTCAACGAAGTAACCGTTTCACTGAAGGCATCCGCATCGACTATAACGGCTCAAAATGTCATGGCATGTTGCCTGCAAGTCAGAATTAGTTTTTGAAGAAAACTTTGGTCACGGTGGTTGGATTTGTGCAGTCTCGCGAATCGGTGGCGGAGAAAAAAATGACGAAAGGCAACCTCTCAAAACCAGTCAGCTTTTCAATCGATAGTGATTAGCCGGGCAACTGTCGTTATTTTCATGGCACACTACTTTACAAGGTAGGAGAATCAACACAGAGTGATGTGCACAGCGAACCAGTATACTACTACTACTACTACTACTACTACTACTGCTACTATCACCTACGACCTTTTTTTTTGGCGGTCAAAGTACAATGTTTAAGAATTCAAGTAAAGGAAGCAAAAAGTATCAATTTTCTTTAGTAAAGCCGGAATGAGCGGATTTCGGAGACACAATTTTGTAAATGTTCTATTGAATTTTCCAGCACTTGAACACTCGACCACTATCATGATTCCTTAAGTAGCTGATGTCTGAGTTAATGGTATAAGACGTTTATTTTCAAAGCAGTTACGTTGCTGTGAAAATGTTTAGTTCACGCAATTTCGATGATACCTAAACGCGAGTTTTACGAGCGTGGCGACCTAAATCGATTAACCTAGAACGCGGAAAATAAAACTTCAACTAATATACCGCGAAAAATGGTATCACAAGCATGTAGCTAATTATTACTGAAAAATTCTTGTGGTAAAGCTCGCTGTCTACCTTCCCATGTCCGGTAAGACTGGCCTCATGCTTGGAAAGTTTGGAACGACAAGGAAAAAAGAACCAACAATTCGCGAGAAAATTAGGGAAAATAATGGCTATGTTTAGTGCGGAACTTAACTCGTTGATTTCCAACTTTCATACAAACTTCGCTTTAGTTTGGGTTATGAATGCACCACGAGAAAGTCTATCTCCCTCAGAATAAGGGTGATCTGTGTGAGCTATGAGGTACCAAACGTTTGTGTTTATAGTAATTCGTGGATATTCGAATCGCTAATTCAACAACAATTTAGAACATTGAACTTTCGTGTCTAAATGTCAAACGAGCGCAAGGGCTTTAAGGACCAGCGTTTAGGAAATAGAAAAAAATGAACCTGAATAACATAACTTACACCATAGTACTTACCTCCGGATAATTTTGGAACAACTGTCTGATATTCCCTCCCGACAGGTCTAAGGACTAACTTGTTCTTCGCTGACAAACACAGTTGAACGAAGGTTGTTAAGATCAAAATTTCCATAAATAAGTGATCCTTCTTTAACTCCATCTCTTCTGACAGTGTCGGCTTAGTTTGTGAAGTAGAAAGCGTGAGAATATCATCCGTGAGGATGTCAAAATAATACTTGCGCTTCCAAACAACTCTCGCTAACTATGGCCCAAAACAAACACTAGCCTGATTTGCACCAGCGACAATATTTATTTTCATTGTTCGTCAGCCAACTCTTCTTGTTTTCGCCCCCCTTCGACGTTATTTGTTCTATATAACCTAATATCGTCACTTAACTTCCTATGTTTAATAATTTGACTAGTGACGAAGATGACTGACATCGGCGAACAACACTCCACTTGATGCCCCCATATCTGGTATGCACGTGATTTTAGAGAACCTATACAGTGATTTGTAACCCGTCTTAACTTAAGTCAGTTTTTTAAAGCAACAGATCTGCAGGCTTGAGTCCGATTGTTGGTTTTTGCGGATGAGATTTATCGGTGTTTAGATAGAATTATATCGTTTGTGTACTCAATTAGCTCGATTGTTGTTTTAATCTTTGTTTTGTAGATGATGAGGTATCAAAAGCTAGCAAAGCGTTTATTCAAACATCATATCTAGTTGCACATTCGTTCGACAATCAGACCCAACAAAAAGACTTCACACTTTCAGCTGGAAAAACAAACAAAAGCGCTGAGGTGGTCTCGGCATAGATCAACTCAATTCTGAAACTTGCGAGTTGCTTTCATCTTTTATCAAAATAGTGATGATTATTTTATCTTATTTTGTAAACATTTTTATCTTTTCACCGACTTAAGCTCATCATAGCCTAGTCTACGTTATTTTTCCGTCCTCAGACACAATGGCCGCCTATTTTACTAAATAATCAACAGAAGCTTTTTGAGGGCCTACTCGTTGCATGACTTATATTAAAGAAAAATCGGACGAAAATTGCCTTAATCATGGCACAACTGCCGTAGAGCCAATGATTTTGTAGATCTCTCTACAATTTTGGACGATTCTTTAAATCTTACCATCTTCTCAATATTTCAACTGGCTTAGTTACTCTCCCGCTGTATTTATAAAGACAAACGCAATACAAAAAAAAAATCGATTATTCTGAGGTTTTGACGTATGTCTTGTGTTGGTCGAGTATGGAAAGAATCTCTACCCTTCACTAAAAAAAACCTTCCCTTGACGTAATGTCCCAGTTTTACCAGTTTTTACAAATTTCTAAACTAACCCGCTGCCTCTACAAGGTGCTTACAAAATAAAACCAGAGCTCGCTGTAAAACCGGCAAGGGTTTTTGACGTAGATGCACTGCTGTGTTGAGATGGTATGGATGGAATCTGTTCTAGAGGCAACTAATAAGTGGAAGAGTGTCCTGTTCAAGTGCAAACCTTGATTAGATTTGACCTCGAGACCTAAACGCGCGGAATTCGAACTCAACGCATTCTAGATACTGTATTAAAGACTCGTGCATACATTTTAGTTGTCTCTCCTGGGAGTAGATATCAAGCCATATCTAAATGCATTACTATGGTGATGTACTTCGTTTCTTTTTCTTTTTACAACGCTCATTTAATAAAACCCTTGCATTCTAAGTAAGCATCATATAATTTGATGGCATAATAAGATTTGCGGTGGATGATAATCAATCAATATTTTGTTCTTTTGCAAGTAAAACTAGATAAAGGGTTTGCTCTTCAAGCCACCCCTCCTTTCATCTTAATGTTAAGTGTTGTTTTTGCACTGGACCAAAACTTTACCGCAGTCATCGTTACACAAGCTATTGAACCAAAAAAGCGTTCGTGAAATAAGAAAATATTACCACTTTGCATCTTTTAAAAACTTTTGACTCACCGGTATTAAACCATAGTAACGTTCACTTAGTTTTTAAAAAAAATTGATTTAAAAAAATGATGTATTTTTACTGAATCAATTGTGGTTTTCTACTGGCTCTTGAGTTTAAGAGGCCGGGTTCGATGAGCAAATCATCTGGCAAAATATTGGCGTATAAAAACACTTCAGTCCTAAAGCATGGCGGCGTCTGCCCGCTGTGTGCTACAGAGATTTGAATCAGTACAAATTAAAACACCGCCTTTTCAACCGTTTGTGCATGCTATGTTTACCGACCGCAAAAAAATAACTCGTGACTCAGCAAACTGCGTTCATAGCACTTACGTAAGTGATCGACTACCGGGCATAATTGTGAAAAAAGAGGGGTCGAGCATGTGGAAGTGCCGAATTGGCTAACAGTCTGACTGAAGTTCACATCGGTGACTTCTAGAACAACCTATGAAATGAAATACAGCTGCATGTAACCCCTAGCGTGTCTTGCCGGTTTACTAGCTAAAAAATCATTATTACCCGAAGTACCAGAATATTTCCAGAAAAAGTCCTAGATTTCATGTGGTAAAAATATTGAAAGACAAATATGTGAAATTATTGCGGAAGAAGATTCATTTGTATAGTCACATCATAAGATTTCTTCCACGACTGACTCATACCCTTTATCCCTTCTGACATACACCCTTTGTTCCCTCACACTTGAATATAATGGCAAAAAAGGGATCGAGTTCTAAAGTCCGATTGAGCTCTAACGTTATTTACGCCAAGGGTTAAACCGGCTTTGCCGGCTCAATGAAAAAGTGAACCCGTGTTTTTTTTCGCCCAGAGACACACCCGTAAGATCTACCGACTATTAAGCTTAGCCTTTTGCGCAATTTCTTTCCCAGTTACATTCGTGCTTGTCTAAAAAGGAAGATGAAATTAAACTATATCGACTTGTCTACGTATTATAAAGATTGCAAAACTATTTCTGGCAGAACGGAAACGCTTATAAGAGATTCTAGAAGAGATGCAATCAACATTGTTATTACTTCATTCACACCTGATTCCACAAGCACGGGAGAAAAAAATCTGTCGTTGAAAAAATATATTTAAAAAAATGTGGATGAAAAAGAAAGGTGGTGAAGAGCTACTAATGGATTCGTCTTCAAACCTGGGATGTGATAATCTGTTTACCTGTTTCAAGAAAGTTCTAAAGTCCGTGTTCAAGCAGTGTTTCAAACAATATCAATCTGCCAGGGCAACCTCCGAGAATGGCTACTCTCAGATGTCTAAAAGGGCGAGAAACGTTATTCTAGACGGCTTAAGTGGCAATTACTTTAGCCCGTTGTTGGAGATTTTGAACGGCAGAGCTATGAAGAAGTTGTGACGTGTTCCCTTTTAAGGCAGTTAACGTTCATAGTAAGAAAATCTTTTTACGATTCCAGTTTGGTTTATTTTTGTTCAATCTGCGCACTTCGATTTGTATAGTTACAAATTTAGCTGTAAGGCTACTGTACATCTCATAGACTTCGTGCGAAATGACATGGCTTTTTGTTGATATTTCTACTAGCAGTGCGCGAATGTCTAACTTCTATAAAAAGGTATCATAAACAGATTAAACGCCATTAATTCCTCTCTGTCATTAAGCTCTTTCGAGAAGCCATTATCACATCAAAGTGCACATATTTGAAAAGAATAGAGAACATATTTCACTTTTCAGTGGTTCTGCTCGGTATAAATGTCGACAGCTGATTTGTAATCATTACTCAAGAACCTGCCAAAGTTGAAATTGTATTAAAGTGCAGTAGTCCCTAGCAAAAATGATAGATAGCTGCTTGAGTTGGCGGCAGTGTCTTGTGGTGCTACGAAAGATTAGTTGCAAGTTTTCTTTTCACCAGTGTAAATGTGATGCCGGCTACATTCAAACAGGTTAAAATTGTATGCCTGCCTTTGAAACTGTCTATCGTATCAGAATTTACTGTTGCTATTATTGGATCACGAAATTAAGATTAAAGATTCTAAATATAAAATGCAATTAGAGGAGATAATTAATCGCTTGTCATAGTGCGCAGTTTCCTTTTTATTGTAGGCTGTAGTGGAAGTAGTATTCGAGGTTTGTGCTCTGCCGGGTTAATGTCTCAATCTGCAACGCTTGCACCGTTTGGTGACTGAAATGTAACCGCTTTGAGTCTCTGGAATTAGGACCCCAAGTAATTATCAACGTGCGAGCCAAATCATGGGATTTTTCCCTTTCTGGTATTATGCTGGAAAAGCTGGTTCTAATTTTGAGTCTGAGGATGCGATTTTTTAAAAAGTGTTATTGTTCAAATGAAGTCTATTCAACTCTACTGTGGACTTTGAAATCGAATGCCAATTTAGATGAAAATTCTCTTGAAGATGCAAGAATTCCTCAGTCTGAGACGATTTAACTAAATTCCCAGGTATGTGTAAAAGTAGAACTCACTGGCTGCACCTTATCAGGCCCTAAAAATACTGAATACATGCACTGCATATTTAAATGATCTGTTTGCACCGGGAGACCCTTTTCCACAATCCGCAAGGCTGAAAATTATTATTACTTTTTTCAACCAAAAAAAATTCAAAGGACCACTCGAGACTATTAAGAGTGGGGAATGCGTTTACTAGACGTCGGTCCATGACCTAAATTGCACAGCAGCAAAACTTTCAAACTGGCGTGTTTAGGGAAAGTTGTAATTGTATACCATATACCTGAAACACGAGCTCTTTCACTGCGGAGCGCTTTTAAACTCGGCTAACCAGTTTTTTTTTGAACTGCACATATCAAACAATTGTACTTTCAATAGTTCGTGCCCCACTATAGCTGACGATCATCAAATTACATCATTAAAGTAAAATCGTAGAAGATTGTTTAAGCATGTCAATCTCAGACCACAACCAAGTTGAAGTCGCTTTCTCTGAAAGAACAATGAAAGTAAAATCAACATATATATTTACTTTTGACCAGCGCAAGTCTTTCTCTTCGTTGACTGAAATCTTTACCAAGATGGAGCTTTAAACAATTTAAAGTTTGTTTTGTTTTTTAATATATAGTTGCGGTCGCGTGACTTTGTTTCTGTTTCTTAAGTTAGAAGCTGTTTGTTATCGTCTCAATCTAAATGGTATTATCAGAATATAAAGGAGCCACCAGGCATACCAAACAGGAATCAACAGACTTCATGTTTGCACTCAGCACACGCATGTCCTACCACTGTAATACTCTAATCGTTCGACCTGAATGTATTTCCATTTCAGGCTAATTGAAAACTTTTGAGTGCGGGGGAAGAGACACGACAACTGCGGCTTCATTCTCCCTTCCTTTTCTATGAGATACATGGAATCATGCAATGGCCTTCGAACCTACGCTAATATATTACGACATTAAGGATCTCTCAAGACTGATACAATGTAACTGTGAAAGGCAAGATATCATCCGGGGGGGGAGTTGTAGATGTGTACTGTTCGACTACAGCGGGTGGGGAAGAACAAATAGTACTTGATTTTTATGGCTAAAAATAGAGAAAAATGTTTAAAAAAATTCCTAGAAGATTCATAGTTCAGACTAGCCGGCGTTCGGTCAAGATCACTGTATTCCACCAGCAGTCTCAACGTCAGGAATATACTCACCTTACCATGAGGAACGCAGTACTAAAGGTACGGTGAATGTTGATATACGTATACATATATTCACTGTCAATGCTCATCCCTGACTTCCTAAAAACACAAGGTAAAAGTCGTATATGCCGGCCAAACTCCTTTTTACGACCGATGGGCTCAAATTAGCCACAAAAATTGAAATGATCAGTCCTGCCTTAGCCTAACATCTAAAGAGGACGTTGTTTAAAAGAGTCCTTTTTTACTCAAAAAAGGCCTACTAAATATTCTGCTATAAGCCTTGGTTTTGCTCTATGCAAACTGGAAGGGTCTTGAAGAAATGCGACAAAAGGGAGCGATACGATGGTGAGGAGATGGGGCTAGAGGTAAGTCAGGGGATGAAAAGGAGTGACAATTCGTAACAGAAGAAAATATTACTCAGTTGTTGACATTTTTTCCAAGGTCCAAACCAGCCAGGCCATTTGTAGCTTATCAGTCTATGGATCCTGCAGCCCGCCTGACCCTAAAATAGGTGAGAGCACCTTTAAACTTAGCCGTCAGCGAGACTGGCCGGTGAGCTTGAGTCAGATTGTGGTCGAGATTTGAGAGGGTGACCTTTCCAGATGCAAATGGCAGCTTTTGAGAAGCACTTTCATCGGACTCTCTGTTTATCATTTACCGCAACTTAGCAATTATTTGGTTTCAATAAAAAAAAGCTAAGCAGCAACCGCAGGTCCAAATTTCACTGGATGCCAGAGACAAGTGGAGGCTGAGTGAGTCTTAAGTGTCCATTGACTCGCATTGTAACAGCAGTCGTTTTGGCAAAAGGGGCAACTTTAGGAGTTAAGCAACACAGCCAAACAGGAAGAAAACAAACATTTCACCCGCGAAGAAAATATAACCTTTGAGGGCGTAGGAATTCAAAACGACGAATATTTTAAAAGTATGCAATAACAGGATGAGTTGTAATGAGCAACAGTCCAGGAATAAAGAATAACTGAACAGCATGCGCTGGAAAAAATACAGTGTTAACAATAATAAAACACCTGAACATGACCAGTATGCTAAAAAAAATAATAATAACTGAAAATAATATATCATTGAGCCAGTATATAGGGGTATATTGGACAATGTGGGCGATCACATAGTTCTCCTAAAACAATAACACTTCTTTACAAGCGATACGCTCCTAAACAGTTTTTTCGAAACCGTGTCTTACATTTAGAAACACAAAACAAGCTGATCGTGTAAAATCAACACTACGCTGCAGAACTGACTGCCGGCTAAGATTTTAGCTTCCCCTAACATCACTATGTTGGCGCGTATTTTCAGTAATTTCACATGTCATTCAGATTTGAATATCTACACGTATTTCATATCATAACCATCAGGAATATAAGCGCTCAACCAATATTAACGTATGATTTTTATTTGACGTCTTAAATGAGCTCACTTGCCAGATATTGTTGTCCTTGTACCTGACTAAGAAGGTCAACAGGAAGAATTGTTGTTGTTGTTGTTTTTTTTTTAACTTATTCATCCTGTAGTCAAAAAACAGTGTGTCTTGTTGTAACTTTTGACGGCGGGATTCTAGTTAAGTTCCAAGGAGCCTACAATTGTGTGGATTATGATTTTTAAAACACTATTTGTGATTGGCTAAAAACTCTTGCTCACTTTCTTAGCCAATTAGAGGTAAGATTAAAATCAATCGTAAACTGCTCGTGCTGGAAATTGTTGGGAATATTATTTTGGTGCTAATACAAACCCTCTTGATCCTAATAGTCACTTCGGAAGATGTTCAAGATGTATTTAGCCCCAGAGACTTGCAAAAGAGTTACCTGACGCCTTAACCATGCCTTAACAAATCTGCTTTTATAGGTAACCATTCAAACTCAGCTTTCATATCTTTCCTCGCAACAAAAGAGAACTTTACAACTAACTCCTATCCCTTGGAATCAATCTTATATCACGCGACTAAAACAGCCCAATTCTGGAAGTGCGTCGTCATGAACACAGAAAAGGGTCTGGGGACGAGATTGCTGTTCTATTCTTTGGTTGCTTACAGAAAAAAAACCTTTGGATGCGAAAATGTTACGCACTTATACCACGCAATAACTTGTCCTATTTCCATGGAAACTCGCTGCTAATTCTGCAGGTGATAGTCTTGACAATTATAAGAGAATCAACAGGTAAAATTTGCCGTTAATGACAAATTCGTTTTACCTGGAATTATTTTCCTATCTGACAGCGCGAGTGTGTGTTGGTCAGCCATAATAAAAAGATGTTTCTGTTTTTTCACCTCTAGTAGCCTATATGTGCTTCCAGTGCCAGTTTTGATACGTTTAAAAAGTTCCAATTCAAGAAAATCTGAATCCGTTTAAATTTTCATATCACTTTAGATTACATCATTGGTCCTTCTTTATCATAACCCGTTATTTCTTCTTAGCCGCAGTTATGTTGTATTTCTAACTTTGTTTTTCGAAATAGCAAGCTGGCAGTCTGGTTTTCCTTCATTGCTATCGCTTTCAAGAGGTTTTTTAAAGAATCATCCAAGGTCAGTTTTTTTCTCCGACTGACTGCATCTAACTTCACGGGTCATCACTACAGCTGAAAAATATTACCAGTAATGAAATGAAGAGCTCGCCAAGGTGTTTTTTTACTAATCACACGGTTCGGTGAAACCCATTCGAATGACTGATTCCCAGTGTGAATCTAGCCGGTGGCATGTCCAATGTGACATAAGTTCGTTACGCTCTTATTGTGTTCTTAATTTGAAATCATCTGCGTCGACAGCTATGACAAATCAACCCTGCCCACTGTACGCATGGCCACCCGACCGTACTCGTCTTCATACCAACAAACTTGCGTAATGGTCCCTTGTGCTTGCTGATCGTTCTTTAAAGGGTCATTGCCTTGTTAAGAGACTAAAACAACGTTGTGCCCGGTTGGTTTTATATTATATGAGCAGCGCAGTTGTTTTGGGGCTTTGCTGCTACTGATCCTTATGGTGAAATTGTTTTTATTTCGTCTGGGATCATTATTAAGTTTACTAATTTTGCTTGTTTGGGAAGCATTCTATAGCCAAAACGAAGCAAATTACGCAGGTATCGAATCTTAATCTTTGAATCAACGTCAGCTCTGTTATTTTGCATCTAATGCTTTTAAAAGTACATTGCTGCTGATCCTAAAATTGTTTTGTGCTAGAACCATCAATTCTATCTTACTATAGCGATTATTATTTTTTTTTTGTAGAAAGCAACAACTTCAAGCGTCAAGACGTCTATACATTTACAGAGAATGTTTGGAAGGTAAGCGGTATTTTGGCAGACAGTCGATATGGTTGTCTGTTTCAAACTGTTTCCCGTTGCGATTCAGTCATAACCTCTAGGCCAACATGCTAGTGCTTTCTCCTAAACATAATACAATGTACTTATAATTAACACTCGAGACCATAACCCTGTTTAGGTGGCTGAGTTTGTGTAGTATGCGAGTATTAAGGTTCAATGAATCAAGTGTTGGCTTAGTTCTGGAACGTAGACCAAACAGTTATACCGGCAATCTGATAAAGAGCCATATGCTTTTAACAAACGACACTAGCTCCCTAAATCGTCAGATTCACTGACAATAAATTGCATACTTTCATATTCAAGGGGTTTTAACCTCTTGGATTAAAATTCACTTAAACTATCGACGGATCGATGAGGTAACCGACGGGTTTCCCTGATAACTGAACGGCTTCAGTTAGTTTACAGGGTCCCTCCCACGCTATTTAAGTGTGCCCTTACAATTATTCAGGACCGCGGGCCAAACCAATCCATTCGTAACTTAAGAGAATTCCACTGTAAGTCAGGACGGTCCATTCAGATTAGGTCCGTTCTTAAAAGGAATGCACGGCATTGATAGGTTTTAAGTTTAAACTCTTGAAGAGAGCCTACTCTTTTTCAAAATGAGTGATCCGAATGCCCAGTTTGACTTTTTAAGCGCATGATTTGAAAAAATACACCATTGTCGACTTTGCAAACTGTTGAATTCAGGAGCGGGAGCCGAATTTATAGACTGAATTAGTGAATTCAAAAGAATCGTACGTACGCCCTGTTTTAAACTGAGTCGAACAGCACAATCTGAAACACAAAGATATTTAGGCGATGATGTTTCAAATGCAGGCCGGTATAAAATTAAAAATATATTAGGACCGTTTACACGAGAAAAAATAAGACGCGTCTTACATAAGAGGCGTCCTAAATAAGACGCAAACTATCCCGTATAAACGGCACATTTCGTCTGAAATTTAGCTAAGACGCGTCTTATCTAAGAACAGCCCCTAACACCTGTTCTTCGATAAGACGCGTCTTAGCTAAGTTGGGCCTTAATGTTCCGTTTATACGGGATAGTTTATGTAAGATACGTCTTATTTTTCCTCGTATAAATGGCCCTACCTGTTCTTAGATAAGACGCGTCTTAGCTAAGACGAGAAAAGCTTCGTATAAATGACCTTCGCATCTTATATAAGACGCGAACGCATAGTACGCACGCGTTAATTTTTGGCGCGCCACGTTGGATTGCCGTTGCTACGGGCAGCATCCACATGAAAACGAGTCAAGAACAGAAATAAGACGCGAACCATTTATACGAGCTGTTCTCGTCTTAGATAAGACATGCTCGTATAAATGGTACAGTTCGCGTCTTATTCAAGACGCGTCTTATGTAAGACGCGTCTTATTTTTCCTCGTATAAATGGTCATAATTTTACGCTCTATAAAACAAACCGATTTTAATAAATAGGGAATTAAGACATAAACGAATTTCTCTTGATAACACCAGAGTTCAAAAAGTCAGACGATTAGTTTTTGAGACGGCCTTAAACACTCAAGAGCAAAGTCTCTTGGTATAATTCAAACTCTCCTCGCCGATTTTTCAAGAAGAAGGATCCATCCACACGTATCCGGATATTTTCGAATCCGCAAATTGTTCTTTGAGGATTCAAAAATTTCCACGTCCACACGTATCCGTTTTCAAATCGAATTTGCCCGTCCACTGCACACGTATCCGCATTCACTCTTAGTTCGTCAGCTAATTTGTAAAGCAATCTTCAGCTCATGCGAAAATTTTATCGCCAATTTTCTTCAATTACTGTTTCACTGACAAAATTCTCCCACCAAGCACTATCAGTTTCGATTGCCCGTTTAACATGTTTACAGCGTCCAATTCGTCCGTCCGACATGGAAAGAAGCTTCAAACTGTCGGGCCGCCGTTTGGCATAATTGAAGTGTACAGTAATCATAGTTATAGTTAGGTTTAAATGCACACACGTTATAAGACTTCAAACTAAAGGCCATATTATCATTGGGCTCGGCACCGTCTTGAATATTCACGGTAAAGAACTGGGCTCGATCTTGTCACGTCACTGGATAAAAAATATACGGATTTAGCGTCCACTCGAATTCAGATTCATAGCGTATTCAAAAATTTCCACCAGGAGAGCGGATTCAAAAACGTGCGGATTAGTCTGCAGGATACACCGGATACGTGTGGGCTACTCCTTGGTGCCCGTCTCAATTATGCCTTAAAAAGGGGACCATCAGAGAAAATGAATAAAGCAAAGCATTTAAGCCATCTTGCGTCGCATCACTGACGTCTGTAATTGCTGAAATGTAACAGAAATGGGTCTCGCGCGTGTTGCATATCAAAAATGTCCTTTCACCTTTTGCCCTTTGTTTTATGTCATGACGAACATGTATAATTTTTCCTCTTAGAATAGTGAGCAGACGCAAGAGCAACGTAAGAAGAGTTTAATAGACTACTGCCACAAGCGAGATCCCAGGGAGTTGCTGCCACCATACACAAAAAATCATGAAATTCCTGCATATTATTTCAGGAATATTATAGTGAACGACAACCACAAACTTCTCTATTGCTACATACCTAAAGTGGCCTGTTCAAACTGGAAACGAGTGCTTATGGTCATGAACGGTGATGCCGCTGATCCGTGGAAGATAAAAACAGCGGACGTGCATAATCGCAGCTTGGGATATTTTCGATATTTGAATCAGTATTCCCCAGAGGAAATTGTACATAGACTCAATACTTATTACAAATTCCTGTTCGTGAGACACCCGTTTGAGCGACTCGTATCGGCGTACAGAAACAAGTTTGTAGACTCATACAATTACACTCTCTTCAAAGAGATGTATGGGCGGTTTATCATACGAAAATACCGTCGCAACGCAGACAAGAGGTCCTTGAAGACCGGTGACGGAGTCAGTTTTTCCGAATTTGCCGAATTTCTCCATAATTCTGATTCCGAATTTATGGACTGGCATTGGAAGCAATATGACACATTATGCCACCCCTGCTTAATTTACTACGACTTTATAGGACATTTTGAAAATTTACACGAGGAAGCTGATCAACTACTTGATATTCTACAAGTGAGCGATACAGTTAAATTTCCCCGAAACAAAACTTCACAGTACAAGCTCTCGACAAAAGTCATAGCCAGACGGTACTTAAACTCGCTTTCTGAAGAGGCCAAAAAAAACCTCTATGACAAGTACAAACATGACTTTGAGATGTTCGGCTATTCAATGGGAGACTATCTTTGACGAGGAAGAAAGTTGTTTTGTTTATCATATACAGGATGCATAAGAGGCAGCGACATACTCTCTACACAAGGGTTTACCTAGCTCACGACTCATGTATACCCTGGACCAGTTAGCTCCATTCTGGTGCCTTTGTTCACAGTGTTGTTCAAACCGACCATATGACCAAGAGTGAGCTGCTTAAACTGGTATAAAATCCTATCAAGTGGTGTGAAAAGAAATGGAGTAACCAGCCGATACCCAACAACCTCGGTTGTTGGGTTAAATAGGTAATGAATGAATCTACCTTGTTCAGAAACAATCCCATTAAAGTACAGTAGACAGTTAAACCACTGAACACAGGGGATCTGACCTCGAAAGAGGGACAGTTGTATGCTGTCTAAAACCAAACGCTGTAAGACAGACGTATTCCTTTGACATTCAAACATTAAAGGAACGCCGACAACAATAATATATATGAGAGCGTTGCTCATATGTTCATACAGGAAAAGGTGGTCCCAAAAGGGACTCCTGCGGGACTGCTTCATAAGACAATAACTGACGTATTAGGACAAAATGAGTTGTTTAACGACGGTGAATAGTGCCAAACGTCGAATTTCGAGCGTCAAAAAAGTTGGGAGCAGTTCTGGAACGTCGACAAACCAGTGGTAGCTAGACTGATGTGACAAGACTTTTAAATGAGTAGAAATTGACTTAACGAAAAACCATCCGGGATCTTCAAGACAATGACTACCACAATGTTTTCACTGGCGGCATTATTTCACTGACACCCACAGATCTATGTTCTCCACATAGGGCATTAAATAAGGCTTTTGGGAATTTGGAATGATTAATATATAATTGACAAACGATAGAAAGACAAGAAAAGACAACAGAAACGAGACATAAAAAACACCGATCACGGACACAACGTGGACACAACGGCCTCGCTACACAAAATCTTGAGCCTACAAATTGGATGAGCTGAAAAAGGACACCCTTAACCTAACTTTCCCCAAATGGCTGTTTTAGAGAATTTTCAAAGTGCGGCTGTAAGACACGGGCGTAAATACCAGCAGAGGATTCACAATGTTTTGCCGCTGAAGATGACTTGATCCTATGACGAGCAAATCTATACAACAACATAATCGAAAACACGACTTAAAGCTGAACTTGGCGAAGAGTTTCTGATGCTGGAATAAAAAGCAATATAAGGTTAATCATAAAAAAAACGAATTGTTCCAGAAAGGTTAACGGAGAAAAATCTGACTTAAATTTGAAGAATTTGGATCGCTGATGACAGGTCAGCTTAAACCGATGCTATGAGCTAGGAGACGGCCTTGAGTGACAAAGGTAACTGATGGTCTCTGATAATGACTGATGAATGGACCTCCTGACGGTCTACGCGCAAAGGAACCCATAAGTTTACTGGAAGATAAAATGACTGACGAAACTTGTTAATAACTGTCTGACTGACATTAGTCGAGAGACTGGTTAACTGAAACAGATTAACTGGACTGATTAACTGACTGTAACAAAAAAACGATAGCCCTGAGGAAGTTAACTGTTGCGCAATTCCAAGCCCAAGCTGATGCATCGCAACTGACAGTGTGCCACTGTCTAAAGCAGATTGTCTGATCTACTGACTTACTAAGAAGAAGAAGAAGTGACCACTGCGGTTGAATGACAAACTGAACCATTGGCTCAGAGTACATGTGATTAGCGGATGCTCTTTCAAGTGATTCGTTGATTTATTGACTGATAGACTGATGGATAGAATGATAAACGGACTAGCTGCTTGGCTTTGCTGTCTGACCTACTGACTTACGAATTAGACCCACTAGTCTGCCTTGTTTATATAACCGAGTGGGATTGGTTTGTTGCACGACAAACTAACACTGAATGCTTGCCAACCCAATGCATGATAGATAGGCCAAATGACTCACCTAGTGCCACATACTGATCGTCTAGGCGTACTTTTTGACTAACTGACGGACGGACGGATTGACTGACAATCTTGATACTACACTGAATAACTTACTAGTTTACTCGTTTGCTTTCTGACTAGCTTGCTACTAGCTAAGTGATGGCCTTACGAAGTGACTTACGAGAGATTACTGACTTAAAAATGAACTGGGAACTGGCTAACTGGTCAGACCGACTGAATGACGAGCCAGCTGATTAATTTTACCTAACTCTCCGGGTTAGCTGATCGACTAAATGATTTTCTGACGGACTGACTACTTTGCCGATTTACTCGGACTTACTTACTCACTGACCTAAACTAACGGCTAGAGGCGAATAACTTTCTGACTTCGGATTCCTGACCAACCGGATGACAAACTGACCCATTGACCTACTGAAATTGACTGATTGGCTTAGTGACTGATGTAAAGCTGGTTGACAGTGACTGTCTTGCTAAAAATGGCTGACTAAATGACAGACTGAGATAAAGGGCCAATTTCATGAGAAACGGTGGTGCCCTGCCGGTTGGAGATTGATGAACACAAAAAGATCAACTCCATGATTTGATAAAGTCAGTTTACTACTGTAAGAGATTGTGGAGCTGACGCACTAGCGCTAGCCATTCGTCAGAGCGATCACATGTGTCATAATCTTATAAATCACTCTGACGAAGAGCTGGCATTCGATTCGAAACGTCACCTTTTCAATCATTTCATGGCGGCAATTTGACTATACCAACTCATGCGATAAAACATTTTTCAGTGTAACATGCTGAAAAGCTAACTCACGCACTGACTGACTTGTTGAGATGGTGAGACTGGCAAACGGACAGAATGACGGTAACTAAGTGGCTAGCTTGCGAAAACAACCGTCGTGAAAAGTCGGCTGTTTTCTCAAGCTACTGAGAGGCTGACATACTGACAATTTCCTGAATCGAAATGACAGACAGTGAAAAGCTGGTTTACTGAATTTCTAACGTGTTAAAATTAGCTGACTGGTTAACTTACATCCTGGAAACCTGCTGGCTCGGAGTGACTGAAATATTGAAAAACTGGATTACTGGCTTGCTGACATGCTGGAAAGGGCTGACTGAAATGGTTGACTGGAAGGCTGACATATTGAAAACTTGCTGACTCTGACTGGCTTAAATACTGAAAAGCTGGCTCACTAACATGCTGAATGGCTGACTAACTTACTGACATGTTAAAACTGGCTGACATACTATAAACGAGCTGTCACTGACATGCTGAAACTGGCAGACATAAAACCCGCTCATGACTTGGACTGACTGGTATACTGACTTGCTGACATGTTAAAATTGGCTCCCATTTTGAAAAATGGGCTGACTGACATGCTGAAACTGGCAGACATAATTAAAACTCGCCCTTAATGACTCAAGCTGAATGTTATATTGATCATGAAAAGCTGCGGGTTGACTGACTTGCTGAGGTGCTGGAACTGGTTGAACAGCTAGTTAACATACTGAAAACTTGCTGACACGGAGTAACTGAAATATGAAAAAGCTGGATCATGACTGACCTTCTGACACGCTTGAAATGGCTGACTGAGTTGCTTACATGTCAAAACTGGCTGACTGGCTAGCTGACAGACTGAAAACTTGCTGACAGGAATGGCTTACATTTACTGAAAAACGGGCTGACTGACATGCTGAAACCGGTTGACTAACTTTCTGACTCGTTACAACCGGCGGACATATACTGACAATTTGCTGACTCGGAGTAACTGAAATATTAAAAAACTGTATGACTGACTTGCTGATACGCTGGAAATAGCTGACTGGGTTACTGACATGGTTAAAACTGGCTGACTGGCCGGCTGACAGACTGAAAACTTGCTGACTAGGAATGGCTGACATACTGAAAAACGGGCTGAACGACATGCTGGAACCGGCTGACTAACTTTTTAGCTGACATTTTATATACCGACAACTTTCTGACTCGGAGTAACTGATATATTAAAAAGTTGTATGACTACTGGCACTTGCTGACTGGGTTGCTGACTTCGTCAAAACTGGCTGACTGGCCGGCTGACAGACTGAAAACTTGCTGACTCGCGGAATGCCTGGCATACTGAAAAGCGGGCTGACTGACACGCTGAAACTGGATAACTAACTTGTTGAAAAGTCAAAACTGGCTGACCTTCTGATAACTCATTGAATGACTGACTGAGGTACTAAAAAGGTGGCCGACTTTGTTGGAGACATGCTAAAACTGGCTGACTGAGTTCCTGACAAGTTTCATTTGGCTGAGATGCTGGCAGGCTGACAAACTGAAAACTTGCTGACTGAAACTGGCTAACATACTGGAAAGTGGCTGCGAACAAGCTTTCCAATTATGGCGAGCGAAGCGAGCCGCGAAACTAGCTGATACACTGACAATTTGCTGATTCTGACTGACTAACACACTGAAAAGCTGACTTTAATTTAGGCCTGACAGAATGACTGACTTCGCAATTGACTGCTTTCCTGGTTTATTTAATTATCTTATTCCTGCTTGACACAGACTGAATGACCAATCATGACTAATTGACTGATCTGATATGACTTCATTAACTCTGGATGTTTGACAGACGCTGTCTTATTTGCTGACAAATTCGTTCAAACTTTACAAACCCATATTGCACAAATTAGCAAATGATTAACCGACTGCTTAAACAGCCACTTGGCAAGATAAATGGCCAACCGGATCAATGTCTCGGTGACTGGCCCATCAACTAATTAAGTACAGTCAACTCTTTCAAAGACAGACACCTTTGAGAAATAGAGAAATGCCCGTCTTATAGAGAGTCAAATAAAGGGAGTAAAAAAAGGCAGAGACCAAATCTAGGTGTCCGTTTTACAGAGGTGTCCTTCTTAAAAAGGTGTCTGTTAAGAGACTAGAGAGTCGACTGTATTTGATTGACTCGCGCATAAACTGACGTTCGCATGGGGATGGACTGGCTTACTATATAATAGACAAAGAGGGGCTGACTTGACACTAGACACTTGATCAAACAATCAATACAAGCGACTTGCCCACTGACCAAAGGACTGAAATCATCAGATATTGATGGATCTGACTACCTGTACGGCTGGTCGGATGGCTTACTAGCCTAGTGATTAGCACTTTCAAGCTGCTTGTTGACATAATCTCGACGGACAAACTGAACGACTTAATGAACTAATCAAATGACCGTCGCAGTGTCCAGCGAAGACACTTAGTAATTTCCACTACTAAACAAACGATAATGACGATATGGTGAAAGTAGACTAATGCACATTTAGTCAAAATCTTTGAGAGCATTTTACCAGCAGACATACAAGAGTACCGTCAGGGCACCGCAAAGAGAAGAAGAAACATTGAGAGGGAGGTAACTTATCAAGATGCGTCAGCCAAGCAACAGTGGGTGATGTATTAGGATACCGATCATCGCAGCGAACCAACCAGCGGATGTAATTGCGTTGCCTAGAGAACGAGTGAGAGAACGGGAAGAGAACGCCGATGTACTTTTTGGAATAAGCTGTTTCATCCTCGAATGGTTTTCAAATGTCGCGATCCGTTTTTTGCTGTCTTTTTTTAGCTACAATATTGTAATAGTGTTTGAACAATGTTTTGTTGGATGCCTGTAAAATTATTTTTGTCAAATTGAACAATGAAGAAATGTTTTTGTCCTTCAATGATTCACGCCATCTGATCTGAACCAATGTATTAAGGGACACCGTGGATTCCGGAGTACAGGTGCTGGATTCCAATCGTTCGTGAGATTCCGGATTCCTTGAGTTGTATTCCGGGTTCCACGAGCAAAATTTGTCCGGATTCCTGTTTCAACAAAGGGGCGATTTTGAAACCATCGCAGATCCCATATTACCATAACATTACGTTGTAAACCAAACCAAAGTAATTTCTCCGATGCAACCACATGCGACGCGCTACGTTGCAAGGGAAGATCAGCGTTTATTCAACCTTTTCGGATGGCGGTCAAACGACGGTAAATTACTTCTAAGACCTACTTTGAAAGCACTAAGAGCCAATTTTACGCCCCACCCCTGGAACACATCCAACGCGCATCGTGCGTTGTGTGAGTGCAGTGAACAAGTTTCTTCATATGGGAAACTGGGTAAAATAACGAACTGGGTTTCTTGAAAAAGGTGCGCCGAGAGCGTGTCAACACAACCGACATTTAGCGACGCGACCACTACCGTGGGTACTAAAGGTTTCTTTCTCGCGGGCAGCTATCGAGTGCGGCGGAGATGTTGCGGGGTTAGCCGCAGGCTTTTCGCGCGGTTCACTATAAACTCCAAGCTATAAACTGAAGATTTGGCCAAAACTAGAAACCGCGCATGCAAAGTCTCTGGCATGCAGGGCACAGCTGGTTTCTCCGCGAAATATATTTAGGGCAAGCGCCGGGTAGATTAACTAATTAAAACCAATTCAACAAACATTCTAAACTTGTCACGGACGGTTTTATTGTTTCCGACGGCAAAATGATGGCAAAAAATCGATCGTTCACACAAATTGAATTCCGCTGCATGATGGAATAAGATACAAATGCTGAAAAACACAACTATGACCTCACTTGTTAATACTATACCACATAAAACAGAAAACCGAGTTAACATCATAGCAAAGCATATCTTCAACCAGACAGAAAGTGAAAATTATGATAAACTGGTACGAAAACATGAGCTACGCGGAAAACAAAGTTTCTGTCTAGTTTGATGACAAAAAATTAAATTGACAGTAAGTATAATCTTTCGCTGACACTAACAAGAAAAAGCTATTAAATTAAGTTGAGGGTCATAGTTTGTCTAATCTCCTCACTGATGGCTTGCTTGATGGTTAACATATTATTCCGCGGGACCGTCGGCTTTGGTAGCCTCTTCTTTCTCGGGTTTTGCTTCTTGGTCTTCTTTCCCTCTTTCCCCGTCCTGTTTACATAAAAAGAAGGGGCATTTTGAATAAACAACCTTTCCAGCATGTTTTTAGCTGATTTACAAAGTCGTCCGCGTTGCTATCAGTCGCGTAGTTACCTTACAAATGCTAAAAGCCATGCCAGAGAGAAACCTCTTCTCGCAAGTTAGGTCTGTGAACATTCACGAGAAAGCTAAAGATATGCAAGATTTTTTCTTTATACACAAGGGCGTGTGTCTTGTCCGACCTGGATACCATTTTAGTTGAAGCAATCTGAAACTTTTTTGGGTATACATTAAGTTGACTTTCAAATCTTTTTTACAAGTGCCATGCAAATATTCTGCCTCAAAATGATGGTCTATATTATATAATCTGTCCAGTCAACATGTTCAACCGTAGGCAGCCTTCTGTCGGACACAGCAAATTTTAGTCCTGTCATTTGCAGCTCTACACCAAAGTCTGAGAGTAGAAGGGCCAGATAACCTTTAGAGACCTTTAGATTCGAGAACACGACTTTCTTAATACTAAGTAGTGCTCACGCGTTAATCAGCGTCATTTTGGCGGGAAAACATGATAGCCGTCGCCAATCATCAATCGGTGCCCCCCTCTCCCATCGTTTTCTTTTTCGTCCTCGGTTCGCGCAGTTGAATCTCTTACTTTACGAACCAGAAAATAAAAAACGCACCAAAAAAAACCCAGCTACGCAAGCTATGATCGTCAGAGAGGACTTAACCTCCTTCAAGAAAGATAACAGTGCTAACTTTTCTGACACAGTCGGTGTAAAAGAAGCAAGGCGAACAAGGAATAAGATCGATTTGACTTTCTGTTGTAAATACAAACATTACTTTCAGCTACAGAGGATTTAAAGGGGGTTGTAATGCTCACCTCTCCACGAGGACGTCGAGGATATCTGCGGTTGTACGGACGACGACGACGGCGACGGTTTTGAGGTGGACGCTACAAGAGCAATAAATAAGGTATCAAGTTTCAACTTGCTCCCAAAGAATTTGCTCACAAGGTAAAATCATGTTCGAATTGCCGCCCTCTTTCAAATAACGTCCTCTCTCTTCCGTAGAATAGGAGGGTTTCAATGCCAGAGAGGGAAATATGACTATGAAATGTGCTACTTTTTTCAGGAACTACACTACACTACACAGCCATTTTTAGTGTCGTCACGCAACGCTACGCTCCTCCCCACAAACGGCTGCTTTGTTGGGAGGAGCGTTACGTGACGACACTAAAAACGGCTGTGTCTGTGTAGCAGACTAACGTTGTAGTTGACAGTTTCAATGTGTATTTACTGGAAATACTGAAGTTATTTTAAGGCTGCACAGACTCTGAAAAGCGAAAGAAGCGCCCCAGCGCTAATTCGAGCATTTGCGGTAGTAAAAAAAAGCATTTTTTTCAGAGTGGGGAATAATGAGAACTTAACTGGCCACCAAAACAAGATCAGTGTTTGGTAACCGGCATAATTTTCGGGACTCTAGTACCAAAGAAGTTTCACAATAGAGATGATTCTGTTGGTCTCGTACCTCTTCTCCACCTTCCCCGCCTTCCTCTTCCTGGTCATGTTCGCCTCGCTCTTCCCTCTCCTCGCCTTCTGGGCCTTGTTCAGGCCTGCGCCTGCAAACAAAATGACTCATCATAAGAGCTTGGTTTAAATTCGTAAAACCTTTAAAACAGTGCTAGAAAAAACTTGAATTTCAGCACATTCTATTGGGCAAGCAGCTCTCACATTTTGCCTACCTGGGGCAAGTAACAAATCAAAATAATAATTCAAGCACAGTAACTTTTGATTTTTTGGGCCGGTTTGGTGAAGCTTAAACCATTCCCTACTTAGGTCAGGGACAAAATAAAGTACATAAGTAATACTAGACAGCAACATAAGCTTATTTTGAGAAATGAGCGTAATAAAGAATAGTGCACACCACAAGGCTTGTGAACTGTACCTTGGACGGCGCCGGCGACGAGGTCGTCTCCTCTCTTCTCCATCACCTGACTCCTCTCTCTGCTCATCACCCTTCCCCTCCTCAGACTGGTCTCCTGACTCATCCCGGGGAGGCGGTGGACGGCGACGGCGCCTAGCCCAGGGGGGTGGTCTGCCGTAATACCGTCTGCGGCGTGGTCTTTCTTCGTTGTCATTTCTTTCCCGCTGGTCCCCTGATTCTTCCTCTTCCTTGGTCTCATTCTCGTCCCCAGATTTTACTTCGCCGTTTGTAGCGACGTTAGGCCTTCCTCTGGGACGGCGTCTTCCACGACGATTGTTATAGTAGTTGCGATAGTAGTTTCTTCGGCGGTCCGCTGAAATTACAAGAGCATTATTGAGATTAAAATCCTACAAAAGACAATTTTACACGTCCACCGACCCATTTCTTAAATAATGAATGAAAAAGAAACTAATACAGTCAGGTTATTTCATATTCAGTTCAACAGCATGTTAATTCAAACTACACGCGAGGTTGATCAAGGCTCTCCTCTAAGAAAAATTGAAGGGAGCCCAGTGCTTCTCAAGGGTATTCAGCACAGGATTTCTAGACAAAAGCTACGATTTTGTATATGTAGAACTCTGCCCAAAAGCAAAACTAAGGCGTCAGAGGCCATCGAGTAGAGCATGGCCCTTCTGAGATCACAAACATTTTTGGATAAAATGTTATGGCCAGTTTCTTTCCCGCTTCTTTTCTCAACAAGAGGCCAATGCCTCTCTAGCACTGACATACATCACAATAATAGTCCTCTTTATCAGGGTACTGGTACATTAGTTTCCTCACGTAAAGTAAAGTTTGATGTTTTTAATACATAATTTATGTGATCATACCCAGAAAGGACAGAATATGAAAGAAACACTTCTCTAAAGTTACCTCACACTGTCTGAAATGGGAATTGAAACAAGCAAGCTAAGTTTATGTGCTCTTTTAGCCACTTGAAGGAAAGACAACTACTTCAGATGTAGTTTTTAGAAACTAAAGAATAAATCTTAGGTGATGTTGCTGACACTTAGTTTTCAAGCTTTTGCATTAAGGGTATTTCCAGACAATATTTCTTTGGACAAACTATTGTCACTTTTTTAATTTCCAAGTAATTAGACAACAAAGCATCATTTTGCCAAGTACTTACGTGCATACTTGCTTCCTTGCACAGGGCTTCCATCAGGTCCCGTCACATTGGCTGCTTCAAGACCCTAAAACAATGAAAAACAAAAACATGCTTAAGTCAGGGTTTGCAAATTTTATTGATAAGTGGAGTCACTGTGACTTCTGCTTCACAAATTTTGGAGTCATTTTGGAATTCTTGGAGTCAAGTATCACAACAAAAAAAGCCATTTTCAGACTTTCAAGCACGTGGTCCTTGCATGTATACACTATCGTGAGGGATACACGAAGTAGCTGTGGCGATCCGCTGACCTGGAAAGCTTAAATCCATGATGGCGGTCATCGAGTAAACTTTGATCATAATTTACCCTGTTTTGTCGTGCAGTATAATTCTTTAATTTTGATGATTTAATTAAGGTTTACAACGTTTACAATTAACGAAAATTGTATTTGTTGCGAAAAAGGTCAGGACAAAACTGTGTTTGTTACCGAAAATTTCTGGAGTCAAAGTGGCTCCCTGTTTGTTACCGAAAATTTCTGGAGTCGAAGTGACTCCCTCCGTAACCTCTGTGGAGTCATCTGAACAATTTTGGCGTAAAATACGCCAGATTTGGCGTATTTGTGAACCCTGTGCTTAAGTAGAGTATGAAAAGAGCCATGTCACAGTTTCTGTACCCTGGGGGCAAGCTCTCCATTTGGCGGATATTGTGAGAAGTTAGCAGCTAAAGGTGGAAAAAGAAATGAGGAGCTTACAATGATCTTTGATAAAATTTCATTTCCACCTAAGAAACTACTACAAGAAACCACAACGCGGCAAAAAATTTCCAAAGAAACAAATTTGACAGCCACTGCAAATAGTGTGAACAGACGAGAATGACAGTGGAACCTCTATTCAGGGGACACCCTCAGGATCAAAGTAATTGTCCACTAAACAGAGTGTCCCTAACTCGGAATCTGCTGCAGTCATTATTTCAAGCAGCTAGATAATGTTTAAAAATCATGATGAACTTATTTCTGCACTGTTTTGTGTTGAATTCCCACAAGTGCAGAACATTGATTTCAGTGTGAAAGTTTATATTTTGAAAAGTGCTGCTATTGTGACTAGTTAAACTCATCAACGCTTCTTGTGGTCAGTCACTTATTGAGCACTAAGATGTCCCCTGAGTGGAGGTTAAATCCTGGTTTTGGGACCCAGAAAAAGTGTCCCTTTCCCTGAATAGAGACCTGTGTCCCTTAAAAAGAGGTTACAAATACAGGGATTACGTGAACATTTTTCCGCGACCAGATTTTGTGTCTCCAGAATAGAGACATCCCTTGAATACTGGTGTCCCAAAAGAGAAGTTCCACTGTAATCACACTTCACGTGTCATAGCCAGCTTATCATGGAAACATGATTAAACCTGTGTCCTGGTTCTAATATCATATTAGACAAAGAGATCGAAAAATAACACACCTTTACTCCTGATACTACATCAAATTCAACAGTTTCCCCATCTCCAACACTGCGCAAGTACTTCTTAGGATTGTTCTTCTTGATGGCAGTCTGTAAATTAACACATGCAACCCTTTTAACCTTTAACTAACATCAAAATTCAGATTCTCATTTTCTGTCCTTATAAGTTTCCTACAGAAGTAGTGGGGAGAATTTGTTAAAAATATCAATTAGACTCATCTTGTTTGATCAAGTCCTTAATTCTCAACACCACTCTGTTCTTGATGTTGCAAGGAGGAATTTGATACTGATTACAGTTAGGGCTTTAAGAGTAGAGTAAACAGGTGAAGCCTCTGTTCACAATTAACAGGGAAGCTTTCAATCCATCTATGATTCAAAGCAGATAGGCCTAATTTAATTAACATGAAGTTCCAGTTAAGACATATTTTTGCTTTACTTGGCCTCCAACCCTGCCCCCTCCACCTTCTGAAATGCAACCTTGCAAGAATGGTATATACCTTTTTGGGGGAGCACATGTGAACAGGCAAACAGGTGAAACCAGAAAAAATTAATGCTACTGACACATATAGCCTGCAACACAGACAGAACTAAACTTCTGATAAAGTCTGTATGCAAACCAGCTCCAAAATCCTTGTTGTGGGCCCACATCTGTGTACTAAGGTTTGAATATGAGCCATGACCGGCCTGTTAAAAAAGCCATATTTAGTTTGCCAGTCAGGATAAAGGAAAAATTCAAAACACTTCCGGTAATTTGTTGAATCAGTTGGGGGCCAAGAACAACAATGTCAGCATTTCTTCACAGACGAGGGGTGAGATCATGTCTGTGATGCAGGCCACTGATACATCATAATGCATGCTTCTGTTTGATTCATTAGTACCACTGGTTTAAAAATAATAATTTGAACCACGTTGGTTTTGATTGAGCTACTACTAGGCTACATGTTAAAGCCAACTAGAAGTGAAAAGCACTGGGTTTGAAAACCAAATCACTGGCAGCTGAATTGCATTTTGCCAGCTGAAATTGTTTTGTCTTGATATTTTTGACCGACTAGTTGGATACAATAATTATTCCTCTCGCCCTTGTGGCCTCTGAGTCAATAGCCAATTTCATGGGCTATTGACTCAGAGCCCACTCAGGCTTGAGGAATAATAATAATAATAATAAATACCTTATATACATTATATATTATTTCTGGGTCAGCCAAAAAAAATCTATCTGGTATGGTATGGTATGAACATATATGTGGCCATCACCATCCAACCACCAATAACTACATGCATGTTCTCACATATGTCATTATCACACGCACTTAAACACACGAACAAAAGATCCCTAATATTAATCTTTCCTGAGCAAAATCATGCCAACTTTCAACTTCCAAATGAACCTTCAAAGTTATATAAGTCCCTCTATGCAAACATTCTATTTTTCTGCTTGAAGTGAAGAAGGGTCGTTGCTGTTGTTTCATACGGTATTTCACTGGGGTAGATCCAAGATGATCACATAAAGTTGAGAGGTTCTTGATCTCATAAATCAACACTGGTGAATCATTGCGGAGATTGTATACTGAACCTGTCACTTTTCAAATAGGGTTATTACACATCTATATATTATTCGGATACGGTTAAGACATGTGGCTTTTACTTCAACTCACTTCATGACGATAAATCGTTCTTGTCTCATTAAACAAGAGGGGTGTGAAAAAGAATTGTGACTGGATGAGGGAAGCCCTGAAAGGTCAAGAAAATGTGTCAGTGAAGGGAAGGAACTGACGACAGCAGAACCAAGATAAATGACAAGGAAAAAAAAGGGCTGAAGAGACCCACGGGTGGTTATCTTTCCAAAATTCATTAATTTTAGATCCTGTTTAAATAAACGAAGATTAAATACACCTTCAAACCTATTAGCGTGCATCAACGTGCAATAAATCACACATAGGCTTGCAAAAAAGTTTTTACACGCATGTAAACTGGTTAATCGACTTACCTGATGAACAAATATATCTTCCTTGTTGTCATCTCTGGGGAAAAAAGAAAAATAGAACGAAACTTGAGTAGTGATTGTAGGTGGGAAACTGAAATATGCAAATTAGCTCAGCGTGGCCACAAGGTGGAAACGGAAAACTCGCTTGCGATGCCTTCGCCATCACCACCACGCCAATCGCGTATTTCAAATACGGTTTTCAGGAGGGCGATTTGAATAACGGTGCTAAATAATCAAAATTGTTTAAATGAGGTTGAAGGACAAAGGACAAGCGCGGTAAAGAAAAGACTAGTTTAAACTCTTGCTTACCTGTTGATAAAGCCATAACCATTTTTAACGTTGAACCATTTCACCGTACCGGTCACTTTACTGGCTAGAAAGTTCGAAAAGCCACGTCAGTCATTTACAAAAACCAGACAAAAAAATTTTTTAACCAATGTAACAGTAAATGAAACGAAATCTAAGCAATAAGGGCAAGCCATGTGGCCGGAAAACCTATCGTGACAATATACATTAACAATTCATATTCACGCTATTACGGCGCACATGTTTGCGATGTCGCTTTCAACCCATGCAACGTTGAATCGTACAAGCGCTGACTCTTACCAACAACTTTCTTCTCAGCTGGCTGTTTTTCTTCGACTTTTGGTTCTTCAGTCGTGGTCATGTTGCTGATGGTTACAGCCTCTAGGGCCTTCGCTACTTGGTGGTGTTTCCCACGAAAGGTCTTGGTGTTCCGTCAGATCCTCGATCGATGGCGTCCTCTGTGATCACTCATCTCTTTCACATTACTTGTAGTCACGCAAGGTGTCATGGGAGTGTTACGCCCAGTCCTTCGCAGTTTTCCGAAGATACGATTTTTTGCATCGACAAAACTCAAAATAACAAAAATAGTTACCGAATTTACTTTCCTCTTTAATAACCCATTAAAATCATAAAAGAAATCATATCTTTCAAAAAAGTACGAAAGAAACGAGATCATGCCTCCGCATAAAGACACCACTTTGGTCTTCGGTAGTAGTCGGTTAATCATCGTACACCTTCCCGAATATCCGACATTTCGAAAAAGAAAATGGCGGCGATTGGAAGACAAAACCAACTTGAGTATTTTTTGCAAGGAAGCGTTGGAAAAGACTCCGTCAAAGCTCTGCTGGAAAGACTTAAAGGATTGTGTGATGGCGCATCAAGACAATTTGCGACGTTTCTGGATCATGAAATAGTCTACACACTTGGTAATAATATATTGCATTTTAAGAGCTCTGTCAGTTGCATATTTTTAAGAGTTCATAGAAGCAACTCAGAGTTGCTTCTATATATGCTTTTGATTTACAGAGGCTTTAGCTTCTACTTTTGCTTCTCATAGACCAAATACTATATTCATCTGTTGATTTTCTCTCAAGCGNTTACAGCCTCTAGGGCCTTCGCTACTTGGTGGTGTTTCCCACGAAAGGTCTTGGTGTTCCGTCAGATCCTCGATCGATGGCGTCCTCTGTGATCACTCATCTCTTTCACGTTACTTGTAGTCACGCAAGGTGTCATGGGAGTGTTACGCCCAGTCCTTCGCAGTTTTCCGAAGATACGATTTTTTGCAGCGACAAAACTCAAAATAACAAAAATAGTTACCGAATTTACTTTCCTCTTTAATAACCCATTAAAATCATAAAAGAAATCATATCTTTCAAAAAAGTACGAAAGAAACGAGATCATGCCTCCGCATAAAGACACCACTTTGGTCTTCGGTAGTAGTCGGTTAATCATCGTACACCTTCCCGAATATCCGACATTTCGAAAAAGAAAATGGCGGCGATTGGAAGACAAAACCAACTTGAGTATTTTTTGCAAGGAAGCGTTGGAAAAGACTCCGTCAAAGCTCTGCTGGAAAGACTTAAAGGATTGTGTGATGGCGCATCAAGACAATTTGCGACGTTTCTGGATCATGAAATAGTCTACACACTTGGTAATAATATATTGCATTTTAAGAGCTCTGTCAGTTGCATATTTTTAAGAGTTCATAGAAGCAACTCAGAGTTGCTTCTATATATGCTTTTGATTTACAGAGGCTTTAGCTTCTACTTTTGCTTCTCATAGACCAAATACTATATTCATCTGTTGATTTTCTCTCAAGCGTTCTTCCTTGATCTTAGAGATCCAGAGATGCCAACCTCTGCAAAACTCAGTAACTTCCACAGTTCCAGAGTCATGAACTCTCCCCACCCCCACCAAATGACCCATTCTAACCCTGGTACCCCCACAAGCATTTCCATCCTAAGTAGCCCCCGGTTTACAGTAGCTTCGCTCGATGGTTAAATCATTTCAAGCCAGATCATTCCATTTCATTGTCAGGTCATTCCTCAGTTCAGTGTAAAATTGAAAGTGAAGCACTCGCTTTTGGCTTCTTAGCTTAAAGAATGAGATATACACATGAGTAAAGCCCTTATTTCTGCTTTTGGCTTAAAGACTCATGAAAAATTCTGTCGTGGAACGATCTGACTATCAAGTGGAACGATTTGGCTTAGAACTACATGTATCTGACCATGGAACCGGGTTCCCCCCCCCCCTCCTTCCCCACTGGACCTGTACTTCTTTTCCATGAAGAATAAAAAAAAGCTTTTGGTTTTATAGGTAATCCCAGTAGCAATATTTCATTAAGAGCTCGACATTCTTTAGATGATTCAAAAGCTCCATGGTAAGTATTTTATTGATAAAAATATAGTGTAGATATCCAGTGCTGTCAACTCTTCTGGAAAATCTGGGAGACTCCAGATTCTGGACCGTATCTCCCAGTCTCCAGATTAGAGTCGAAAATCTCCCTGCCGAAGTTTGCCATTTCTTGTAGACTTGACTTTCCGACCCTAAAATTTTAATTTTTTGTGTTGTTTGAAGTAATTTTACTGTTAACATAGGACGTCCTCATAAACTCTGGCATGCCATTGTAATTTAAGCATTAATGTGGCTTAATATGAACTGTTTTATGGGGTATTTACATCCATCAGAGTCAACAAGTATTTTTTGCTCAAATGATGTCATGTGCAGTGCGATATGACGTCATCTATTCACCCTTCCCTATCATTTCTCAATATTTGAAGACGTGAGGGGTTGACGGCCCTGGGTATCCCACAATAATATTATACTCTTGGATTATGTTAATTTTATTTTGTAGTGATGCATGCATAGAATGGAACTAGAACATCTTGAACAGCAACTTGAACAGCAGCCCTTTAGTTAACCATGTACTACCTTGAATTCCTCCACAACCCTCCACAAATGTACTGAGGTTGTTGGAAGATGTAACACCTTCCTTCATTTTTTTTTTTTGACAGGCAGCTGCGTTACGTTGGCCAAAGTGAAACAGATAAAAGCCGCAGCACTTTGTTACGAAGTTGTGTTGAGGTGTCAACAAGTGACAATCTAACAACATTCCTCAAGGAACTTGGATTTAGGTCATTTTTCTTGTTCATGTTATTTGACTGTCTCAGTAAGATACTTCTTACAAATTTTCAAACATGTTGCATGAAAAATGGGATTTACCGGTGGTTGGTGTTTCATTATTTGCCTTGAATGTTCATTTCTGTTCCATATTCCCACAGGCATGAAAGTGAGTTTGTCCTGAAAGGTTATTATTTTGTCAAAGGTCACATGCGGATCACTGTCAGCCAAGTTTGCAGGGTAAGGTCCCATTTATGCACCAAGTGAATTAATACAGCAGGGACCAGTTGTTCAAAGCTGGGTTAAGATAAGCCAGGGTTAGTGTGTGATTTGAATTAAGATTTGAAAGCTTAAAAAGCATTTCAGTTTTAATTTTTTTTGTTTAGAAGTTGATGATTGGAAGCTCTCAAAATATCAGATAAAATTATCTGAGAAAAAGCTTTTGAACACAAGAAAAAGAAACCTGGGTTAAATTTAACTCCGGGTTAAGCGCTAAATTGGCCTTCGAACAACTGGGCCCAGACCTTTTCTTTAACAGTGACTATACATGGTCTTGTATCAGTTTTCTTATCCCTGAGTTTTCTGACCCCCCTTTAATTTTTTCGAGGCATATTTGTTCAATGCATTTACTTAAATGCTACTGGCAAATTTTGTACATTGCTCTCATCACTAGATGATGTCAAAATACCTTATGGACCTGATGCTAAAATGGCTGTTGGGTTGATATTCTTTTGTATATTTTAAAATTAGCCTCACTAACCTTGCTTGAGATAAGGTATCCTTTTGAATTTTGTACTTAAGACAAGGCTAGTAAAGCTGATTTGAATATGAACAAAAGAATATTAAACTAGTGGCCATTTTGACATTGAGTATACAGCCAACCATTAATAGTTTAAGCAAATATGTACAGGACTCTAGCTAGCTTCATAATAGAGATTTGGAATATTAATCTTGCAACAGGTTTGGTTGTAATTAAGTTAAACCAATATCATTTTACTCTTTTAATGGCAGTAACACTATTGTCAACATAAATTTCAGATTGGAGGTGTAAATGAACCACAGTCAGCCCAACCTATTTCTGATTCCTATCTTGTGGAGATTAGCCTCATGACCACTGTTCAACAGGTGACTGTTGCAAACCATAACACACGTTGGAATTTTTGATGTGTTAAATTGATAAATTTAATAATTTTCTGAAAACATCCTTTGCCCTTATTGGGTTTTTGAGGGATAATGAAACAAATAATTTAAATGGAATATAACACGGCTAAGAATCCCAACTGGTAGGAGGTGAACCAGTTGGCTATTTTACAAGAGCAGCCAAGGTTTTGTACTTGGGACTACTACTGAGAACAAATCCAGCTAGCAGTCAGCAGGTTAGAAATTGAACTCGGGGCCTCCAGGTTATAAATCATCCAGCACTCTAACCGCTCAGCCACTCTGCCTTCTTAATGCTGCCATGTGCATAATCTACATACTGTCCAGCCATCCCAATCTCGTCAAGATTCTCCTGATTTTGCTTGAAAATCCAGAAAACTGGCCAATATGTGATCTGTATAGGAAAAATCCTGATTTAGACATCTGTTCTGATCTTTTCAAAAGAACCCTTATGATATTAATACAAGAATAGAAGAACACAAGAGTATGCTTAACTGAAACTGATATCCAGAAAACTTACCAGTACACAAAACCGCACAAAATATAAAATACAATCGAATACTGTACTGTTAGTTATTAATTACTATTGGAAATAAGCATTAAAATGACAATTGATTTAGTGAACATTTTACACTAGAAATGAACACTAGAAATGGTGTTTCAGGGCATCAAGTTTTTAAAATTTTCTGAGAGGGCGTGCCCTCAAACACCCCCCCGCCTTCCTCCTCCCAGCAGCTCGCTCATTCAACCCTTGATAATTTGTTGGTTATTAAAGAATATCCCGATTTTACATACCCACAAGGTTGGACAGTCTTAATCTATTATTACTTTGGTGGTAGGCTTGTTATTGGCCCGGAAAACCAATTATTTTTTCTTCATCACTCATCCTCAATGGCCAAATTATTGCTCACTGTAAGGCGAATTTTTAATGCTGGTTTAATGAACAAAAGCCATGAAAAATGATATTAGTGTATTATGTTGTTTCCGCAGGACACATTAGCAGAAGAAATCAAAGGATTTTCAGAACACTTGAAACCGTATCCTTGTCCTAAATTAACCCAAGGTATGGCTGATCATGAGACGTATCACCTCATACCAGTGAACAGCATACATCTTTTGTTATTGTTTTCTGCTTCACAATAGATTGTTAAACTTTTTTACGGCTAACCTATATGACCTTGCTTAATTTTCTAGCGGTATATTTACAGTATTTAGTTCCAAACCTTAAACTCCTGTTGCCTGAGTGTGAACTACCAATTATCATTTCAGTAATTTTCATCTTGTTTCCAGGGGCAATTATACAACATGCTGAAGCGTTCCTGCATTCCTGCGTTCCTGCAGTTGGATAAGTCCATTTTGCCACATGTCTGTTTGGTTAAAAATCACAGAGAAAAACCAAACTGTTTTGAGAGCAATCAATATATTGATTAGCTAACTCACACGGAAAAGCTTGTTATACAGGCTATTAGTGATCAACTCATCTGCGCTTATTGGCTGTATTTTTGTTTTTAGCCCATAGTGCCACAGTCATAATTGATCTGCTACAATCCATTCTACATTTGCAACTTTTTTCCTTGACAAAATTTTGTTCTTAGGCTCGTTCACTTGGAGAAGATTGACCACCGAAAAATACAAATGACTTGACTCCACTAGGGTAGGTGTATGTGGTTACAGACAGTATTCAGTACATTGCATCCATTCAAACGTAATGGTGCCGACACCCATTAACACCAGCTGAACAAGATACTGAAGTGTTTGCGTGGAGATGATATGTCCATCACTTCATCTTCCAAGTACTGTGGAGTAGCTTAACGCAGAAGATGAGAAGACAAGATGCAAGGGAAAACAGAGATCCAACACAAGATTTAAGAAAAGGTGTTACAGGTTCCAAGATTCAGGGGCACCCAACGAGAATATAGTTCAAAACCACTTAAACATAGCATTGTTAAACGTATTTTAGTATTTAAACGGTAGATATAGGCATATTTTTATCCCCCAAAAATTTTTCATCTGTTCGGATTTCCTAGCTGAAAGTCTAGTGATCCGAAAATTATAGGGATCAAAACTTACCTTTCCGAAAATTCCAGCCAGAAAAAAGGCTCCCGAAAATTCTAGGTAACCTTTTTACGGTAAAAATCCGTTAAAATAGGCAATTATACCATTTTTTAGATGTTCGAAAATCCTAGGAGAGGCAGGCAAGCAAGAAATTTTACAAGAAATGTTCCGAAAATCCTAGATCTCAAATCGTCTTCCGAACAGACATTTTCCGAAAATTGTCGTTGGCTGCCCTTGAAGATTGTAATGTGCAGAGAAACTCGCGGAGGGGCCAAGGGGACTCTAAGGAGAGAGAAAACTCCCACCTCCCCTCCCTAGTTCACGCGCTTCGGTATCTGGTCACCTCGCCACCAAGGATAGAACTTAGCTCAATTAGCATTATTTCGAACCTTCATGAACGGAAATTTCCTAACCGTTACTTTGTTTTTATATTTCAAAGAAATGACTAGTGGTTGTGAAACGTTTCTGTCAGTTTTTTAATCTCTCAAATGCCAAAGTTTACATTTACAGAATCTATACATGTATTATTAGTATTTGCATTTCCAAGAGCATAAGACGTTCGACGCAAGGATAGTCAATTAGGATCGTAAGAGTTGTATTTGGGTCGACTTTAAATTCGAATAAGCTTAACGAAAAAGTAAAAAGCTTAGGTTAGTAATCCTAGGTATAAAATGTGTTAATTATTGCAGAGTTATTCGTTGATGGCGAGTCGACTTCTTGATGGCGATTTCGTTGGTGGCGAGATGACCGTAAACCCGCACATCCTATTTTTGCTTGAGCTTGGTAAACCTAACATCCCCACCATTTAAGAGGCTAGTTCAGGCTAGATTCAAGTTCGTTCCTGAGTTTATCTTGTTACAATGTCGCAAACAATCATTGATCAAAATGTATAATTATATCTTTATATTTATAGCTAAATGAACCATGTTTTCAAATAAACCAAAAATATTTAGCCTTGTAACTAGTGTGATAGCCTGTGCACAGACGTTTTCTTTCTTCCAGGAATCTGGCGTGCGCCAGAACAAACAGTCAATAAATCATCCTCGTGCTACATACTCTTAGGAAGGTCCAAGGCACTTACATGAAAACCGGGTGGGTACTCCAGGGATTTCTTGGGGGGTGTGCCGCCCGGTTCTTCAAATCGTGATCCTATTTTAGACGAAAAAAATGTCCTTTTTCACACCCGTTATCAGACCTGGCCACTAAACTTCATACCCATTCTCAGACCTGACCTTTAAGAAATTATGTCATCATTACTTAGGTTAGAACAGCAACAAAAAAGATTTTTAAAATCCATGTTGAAATCATCCTCGGACACTCAGGGGCAGAAGAAAACGAAAGAACCTTCTCCCCGTTCTTTACTTTTCTTCGCACCATCTTTTCCCGCCCATTTAGACTTTGCCTCGCCCACACCATCTGCCCCTGGGTCTCCGAGGATGTGTCGAAATCGCATATTTCTTTTTCTTTCTCATGACTCATTTGGAATTGAAACAATAAGTACGTTCATACACTCCCGTAGTTCCCTCAAAAACCATACCTGATTCCAGACTAAAATGAACAAAGTCTATACCAGTTTTCAGATCAAACGGCGCAAAAACCCTACCCTTTGGTGCGGCACATACCTATATGGCTTATATAAGGGAGTATCCCCCGGGATTTGAAGCCTGAACAAGTAGCCCTTTCGGGCGGAGCCTAAAATTTTAGGTTCCATGCCGAATTCTCGTCTTTTTTTCCGTCGGTCCTCGTTGTCCTCTCCTCGCCTCTAATAATATATTATTGGATACCATATCAGTAGACATAATCGCGCAAATGAGAAGAAAACAATTATCGCGTTATCTTCTTTATCTTGTTTTTCGTGGTTGACGCTTCTCCCTTCGCGGTTTTTTGCTTCAATACCTCATTGTAGTAACACTATTGTCAACATAAATTTCAGATTGGAGGTGTAAATGAACCACAGTCAGCCCAACCTATTTCTGATTCCTATCTTGTGGAGATTAGCCTCATGACCACTGTTCAACAGGTGACTGTTGCAAACCCTAACAGACGTTGGAATTTTTGACATGTTAAATTGATAAATTTAATAAATTTTCTGAAATTATGCTTTGCCCTTAATGGGCTTTTGAGGGATAATGAAACAAATAATTTAAATGGAATATAACACGGCTAAGAATCCCAACTGGTAGGAGGTGAACCAGGTGGCTATTTTACAAGAGCAGCCAAGGTTTTGTACTCGGGACTACTGAGAACAAATCCAGCTAGCAATCAGCAGGTCAGGAATTGAACTCAGGGGCCTCCAGGTTATAAATCATCCAGCACTCTAAGTGCTCAGCCACTCTGCCTTCTTAATGCTGCCATGTTCATAATCTACAGACTGTCCAACTGTCCCGATCTCATTGAGATTCTCCTGATTTTGCTTGAAAATCCAGAAAACTGCCCAATCTGTGATCTATATAAAAAAATCCTGATTTAGACATGTGTTCAGGGGCCCGTTTCTCGAAAGTCCCGGTAACTTTTCGGACTCGAAATCAAATATTCAAATCAAAATATAAAGAATGAGAGCGCTGGTCCTGGCTAGCAGACTACTCCATTTTGTTTCACTAACTGATAGTTTTATCATGCTAGATGCAAAACTATTGATACCTCGATCTTTAATGTAAACGGAGACAGCTTACCGGGCCCGTTAATTATCGGGACTTTCGAGAAACGGGCCCCTGATCTTTTCAAAAGAACTCTTATGATACTAATACAAGAATAGAAGACACAAGAGTATGCTCAACTGAAATTGTTATCCAGAAAACTTACAGGTACACAAAACCGCACAAAATATAAAATACAAATTAATCGAGTACTTGTAGTTTTTAATTACTATTGAAAATGAGCATCAAAATGACGACTGATTTAGTGAACATTTTACACTAGAAATAAACATTAGAAATGGTGTTTCAGGGCATCAAGTTTTTAAAATTTTCTGAGCGGGCATGCTCTCAAACACAGTGATATCAGTGTATTATGTTGTTTTCATAGGACACATTAGCGGAAGAAATCAAAGGATTTTCAGAACACCTGAAACCGTATCCTTGTCCTAAATTAACCCAAGGTTATGGCTGAGATGTATCACCAAATACCAGTGAACAGAATACATCTTTTGTTTAATGATTATTGTTTTCTGCTTCACAATAGATTGTTAAACTTTTTTATGGCTAACCTAAATGACCTTGCTACATTTTCTAGCTGTATATTTACAGTATTAAGTTCCAAACCTTAAACTCCTGTTGCCTGAGTGTGAACTACCAATTATCATTTCAGTAATTTTCATCTTGTTTCCAGGGGGCAATTATACAACATGCTGAAGCGTTCCTGCACTGTAGTTGGATAAGTCCATTTTGCCACATGTCTGTTCAGTTGAAAATCACAGAGAAAACCAAACTGTTTTGAGAGCAATCATATTGATTAGCTAACTCATACGGAAAAGCTTGTTATACAGGCTATAAGTGATCAACTCGTCTGCTCTCATCGGCTATATTTTTGTTTTTAGCCCATAGTGCCATAGTCATAAATGATCTGCTATAATCCATTCTATGTTTGCAACTTATTTCCTTGACAAAATACTGTTCTTAGGCTCGTTCACTTGGAGAAGATTGACCACCGAAAGATACAAATGACTTGACTCCACTAGAGTAGGTGTATGTGGTTACAGACAGTATTCAGTACAGTGCATCCATTCAAACGTATTGATGGCGACACCCATTAACACCAGCCGAACAAGAGTGTATTGAAATGTTCGCGTGGAGATGATATGACCATCACTTCATCTTCAAAGTACTGTGGAGTACCTTAACGCAGAAGATGAGAAGATAAGATGTAGGGGAAAACAGAGATCCAACACAAGATTTAAGAAAAGGTGTTACAGGTTCCAAGATTGTAATGTGCAGAGAAACTCGCGGAGGGGCGAAGGGGACTCTAAGGAGAGAGAAAACTTCCACCTCCCCTCCCTAGTTCACGCGTTTCGGTATCTGGTCACCTCGCCACCAACAAAATCGCCACTAAGGATAGAACTTAGCTCAGTTAGCATTATTTCGAACCTTCATGAACGGAAATTTCCTAACCGTTACTTTGTTTTTATATTTCAAAGAAATGACTGGTGGTTGTGAAACGTTTCTGCAAGTTTTTTTAATCTCTCAAATGCCAAGGTTTACATTTACAGAACCTATACGTGTATTATTAGTATTTGCATTACGAAGAGCATAAGACGTTCGACGCAAGGATAGTCAATTAGGATCGTAAGACTTGTATTTGGGTCTACTTTAAATTCGAATAAGCTTGACGAAAAAGTAAAAAGCTTAGGTTAGTAATCCTAGGTATAAAATGTGTTAATTATTGCAGAGTTATTCGTTGATGGCGAGTCGACTTCTTGATGGCGATTTCGTTGGTGGCGAGATGACCGTAAACCCGCACATCCTATTTTTGCTTGAGCTTGGTAAACCTAACATCCCCACCATTTAAGAGGCTAGTTCAGGCTAGATTCAAGTTCGTTCCTGAGTTTATCTTGTTACAATGTCGCAAACAA